TTGGCAGAGTCAGCACCTTCACTTGGCAGAGTCAGCTCCTTCACTTGGCAGAGTCAGCTCCTTCACTTGGCAGAGTCAGCACCTTCACTTGGCAGAGTCAGTTCCTTCACTTGGCAGAGTCAGCTCCTTCCTTGGCAGAGTCAGCTCCTTCACTTGGCAGAGTCAGCTCCTTCACTTGGCAGAGTCAGCTCCTTCATGGCAGAGTCAGCTCCTTCACTTGGCAGAGTCAGCTCCTTCACTTGGCAGAGTCAGCTCCTTCACTTGGCAGAGTCAGCTCCTTCACTTGGCAGAGTCAGCTCCTTCACTTGGCAGAGTCAGCTCCTTCACTTGGCAGAGTCAGCTCCTTCACTTGGCAGAGTCAGCACCTTCACTTGGCAGAGTCAGCTCCTTCACTTGGCAGTCAGCTCCTTCACTTGGCGAGTCAGCTCCTTCACTTGGCAGTCAGCTCCTTCACTTGGCAGAGTCAGCTCCTTCACTTGGCAGAGTCAGCTCCTTCACTTGGCAGAGTCAGCTCCTTCACTTGGCAGAGTCAGCTCCTTCACTTGGCAGAGTCAGCTCCTTCACACCTGCAGGGGTGTATCAGGGGAACAAGGGAGGCCCATACACTACAGGAAGTTTGTTAGCTTCTCAGATTATTTTTTATTAATGTTTCATGTTGTCGTTTATGTCCGTCACGACCCAGCATAATGCAATGGTGAGTAACACGAGTGATACAAATATGATATACAATAACTAGGTGGGGAGAGGGTCACACTACAGGGCATTTCAACATAGTGACAGTGCAAAAAGGTAATATTGACTGTGTGTGTGTGTGTGATTATTATTATTATTATTATTATTATTATTATTATTATTATTATTATTATTATTATTATTATTATTATTATTATTATTATTAACGGTTTATTAAGATAACATGGCAGCCCGAAGGCTGAAAATATACAATGAACAGAGGTGATAAGTTACATATAGTGAAACAGAGGAGTGGGTCACTTGGTTGACAAAAGCTTTCAATACAGAAAGATATAAGAAACATAGAGTCAACATATAGATTAACTGTAGATCTGGTACTGTGGGGCTGGTCTGTAGACATTCTTGTGACCTGATGCTGGCGCCTGGTACTGTGGAGCTGGTCTGTAGACATTCTTGTGACCTGATGCTGGCGCCTGGTACTGTGGGGGCTGGTCTGTAGACATTCTTGTGACCTGATGCTGGCGCCTGGTACTGTGGGGCTGGTCTCTTGTGACCTGATGCTGGCGCCTGGTACTGTGGGAGGAGCTGGTCTGTAGGCATTCTTGTGACCTGATGCTGGCGCCTGGTACTGTGGGAGCTGGTCTGTAGTCTTCTTGTGACCTGATGCTGGCGCCTGGTCTGTGGGAGCTGGTCTGTAGACATTCTTGTGACCTGATGCTGGCGCCTGGTACTGTGGGAGCTGGTCTGTAGACATTCTTGTGACCTGATGCTGGCGCCTGGTACTGTGGGAGCTGGTCTGTAGACATTCTTGTGACCTGATGCTGGCGCCTGGTACTGTGGGAGCTGGTCTGTAGACATTCTTGTGACCTGATGCTGGCGCCTGGTACTGTGGGAGCTGGTCTGTAGACATTCTTGTGACCTGATGCTGGTGCCAACAAAGTCCTCCCCACACTTTGGGTGGCTGTCATACCTGTGTGTTAAGGCGCTCCCTCCCTCACTACACCTGTTTAACACATCCACTACGTGGTCCAGGTAGGTCCTTCAAAACACACACACACACACGCACGCACGCACACACGCACGCACGCACTCACTCACTCTTTGCTGTCACTCAGAATCGAGTATGACGATCATCCAGCTGTGATACAATTATATGAATTATTAGGGAAGTCACCCAGGTTGGTGAGTTTTGAGGTGACTAAAGAGGCCGATACGGGACCGACAGAGTCGTTCACAGATGTTGCACATGTGGAGGGCTACACCTAGTGCGGGAGGGTCGGTAGCAGCGTCTTTCCTGCGTTGACGCTTGTCTGCCTCAGTTTGCGGTCAGGCTAACTCGAAAGTATTAACACCTTCTCGTGTGGTGCTCCTCCAAGCTTTACGGTGTGGGGTGATCGTCGCCCAGGTGAGGGGGTCGATTATTTGGCACTTTTTCAGATTTGTCTTAAGACTACCCTTATACCTCTTCAGTTGACTGCCAGTGTTAAGTTTACTATTCGTGAGGTGACTGTAAAGTAACTGCTTTGGCAGTCTACTGTCGTCCATGTGGGTAACATGGCCAGTCCAGTGTACTTGTTCATGGATAATGGTAGCCTCGATGCTCCTACAGTTGGTGTCAGCAAGAATACTGTCATTTGTTCTCTTGTATTCCCAGCAAACTTGGAGGATGGAACGTAGGCTACGTTGGTGAAAGTTTTCAAGTGCCTTGAGGTGCCTCCTGTATGTGACCACACACACACACATGGCAGGAGGGATGATGCAAATACTGTAGTATATAAAGTACTGTTAGGATACTGAAGGTGCTCAGATGGAAGAAATATTAAATTACCAGAGGTGGAAGGCTGTAACACCACCTTTTGTATTATATAAATATTCACCCAAGTGCATAGCACCAAATTATTCACTAAGTTATTCAACAATGACTCGGTAGTTGTTCATGTTATACACGCTGACCTTGTAACCCTCTCACAAGTCAGGCGAGGTCAACCTGACTGATCAAAGCGCCCCACTTGACGGCTCTCCCACACTTGGAGGAGAGGGCCAGACTCTTACCACTATTTAAGGGGTGAACACTTCACTTAGTGTTCCCATACAAGTACTGTGTATATAATAGAGGGGTGAACACCTCGCTTAGTGTTCCCATACTAGTACTGTGTATATAATAGAGGGGCGATCACCTCAGTGTTCCCATACAAGTACTGTGTATATAATAGAGGGGTGATCACCTCAGTGTTTATCACAAATTACTGTGGAGGTGATCCTCAGTGTTCCTACAATGCTGTATGTATAATAGATCACCTCAGTGTTCCCATACAAGTACTGTGTATATAATAGATCACCTCAGTGTTCCCATACAAGTACTGTGTATATAATAGAGGGGTGAACACCTCAGTGTTCCCATACAAGTACTGTGTATATAATAGAGGGGTGAACACCTCAGTGTTCCCATACAAGTACTGTCATATATAATAGAGGTGAACACCTCAGTATTTATACAAGTACTATTATGTATATATAATAGAGGAGTGTGAACACACCTCCATTGTTCCATACAAGTACTATGTATAATAGATGAACACCTCAGTATTCCCATACTATACTTGTATATAATAGAGGGGCGATCACCTCAGTGTTCCCATACAAGTACTGTGTATATAATAGAGGGGTGATCACCTCAGTGTTCCCATACAAGTACTGTGTATATAATAGAGGGGTGAACACCTCAGTGTTCCCATACAAGTACTGTGTATATAATAGAGGGGTGATCACCTCAGTGTTCCCATACAAGTACTGTGTATATAATAGATCACCTCAGTGTTCCCATACAAGTACTGTGTATATAATAGAGGGGTGAACACCTCAGTGTTCCCATACAAGTACTGTGTATATAATAGAGGGGTGAACACCTCAGTGTTCCCATACAAGTACTGTGTATATAATAGAGGGGTGAACACCTCAGTGTTCCCATACAAGTACTGTGTATATAATAGAGGGGTGAACACCTCAGTGTTCCCATACAAGTACTGTGTATATAATAGAGGGGTGAACACCTCAGTGTTCCCATACAAGTACTGTGTATATAATAGCTTCAACAATAAATTAAAGCCCTGCCACTTTAAGAGTTCCAGAACTTATTTAAAACAATTGTGTGCGATACCCAAAACAGCTATCATAAGGCAGTGAATGTAGAGCTCAGCACAGCACAGTACAGTATGGTACAGCACAGTACAGCTGAGTACAGTACAGTACAGTACAGTGCACTCCACAGCACAGTACAGCACAATACAGCACAGTACAGTATTTGTACAGTACAGCACAGTACAGCACAGTACAGTACAGTACAGTAAATGCAGTACAGTACCGAACAGCACAGCACTGTACTGTACTGTACAACACAGTACAGTACAGTGCAGCACAGCACAGTACAGCACAGCATAGTACAATACAACACAGTACAGCACAGTACAGTACTGTACAGCACAGCACAGTGCTGTACAACACAGAACAGCACAGTACAGTATTGAGCAGCACAGCACTGTATTGTACTTTACAAGACAGCACAGTACAGTATAGTACAGTACTGTGTAGTACAGTACAGTATAGTACAGAACAGTACACTAGACATAGTATAGTACAGTAGAGCATAGTACAGCACAGTGCAGTACAGTACTGAACAGCACTGTACTGTACTGTACTGTACAACACAACTCAACACAGTACAGTACAGAGACAGGTTAAAGCATCTTAATTTGCACTCCCTCGAGAGACGTAGAGTGAGGGGCGATATGATAGAGGTGTATAAATGGAAGTCAGGGCTAAACAAAGGTGATATAACAAAGGTACTCAAACTATCCAACCAGGAGCGAACTCGTAACAATGGTTTTAAATCAGATAAATTTAGATTTAGGCACGAGAGAGGTAAACATTGGTTTGTAAATAGAGTAGCGGACGACTGGAACAAGTTACCAAACATCATCATTAACTTTAACATACTTGTTAACTTCAAACAAAAGGTTGGTTGGATATATGAGTGATAGGGGTCGGGTGTAAATGGGGCTCCATTCTTATGTACAGGACAGGACAGTGTAGCACAGTACAGTAGAAGGCAATAGATGAAGCAGGGTTTCTTGTACTGAATATAAGGACAGGTGTATCATCTCATAGAAAAACAAAGAAAATTAATATTGTTTTAACTCTTCTACTGTTTGGCTCAATGGTTACATAAACCACAAAAAAAATAGTGAAGTAACAATATTTAGTCATTTTGTATGGTAAAACAATGCTCAAATGACCTTTTAATTTTTCAGCTCCAAACTAAGAAAAATATATCAGTTCCAAGTGTGACTCTTGAAAACTTCCCAAAGGAGGAATACCAGTCTGGAGGAGGACTTGTTCTCCGTAGTATAGTGCCTCTGTACATGGTGTTTGCCTGGGCTCAGTTCATAGTGTACATGTTGATGTTGGTGGTTGAAGAGAAGGAGAAGAAGATCAAAGAAAGTATGAAAATGATGGGACTCAGAGACTCTGTGTACTGGTAAGTTCTGTCTACTGTAATAATATCAAACATGTTCTCTTTGATCACTGTCACTTGGCTCCTAGTCACAAGTAGTATGTAAAACCTTACCTTAAGAAAATAGATTAAATTAAGATTGTAGTGACTAGTAATGATGGTAATAAAGAAATAGACAAAATAATGCCTAATAAGTCACCAGGTCCTGACAAGATATTTGCCAGAGTATTAAAGGAATGTAAGGTAGAGCTCAGTATGCCCTTAGCAAATTTGTTTAACAAGTCATTATAAACGGGTGTAGTACCAGAATCCTGGAGGATAGTGAATGTAATACCGATTTTCAAGAAGGGAGATAGATCACTATCCTCTAACTACCGTCCAATTAGTTTAACATCAATCGTAGGCAAATTGCTGGAAACAATAATTTAAAACGCTCTTCAAAATCACCTGGAGAAGCACAAGTTGATCAATGATTCCCAACATGGCTTCACAAGCGGGCGTTCATGTCTAACAAATCTATTAACATTCTTTTTAACTGTTCTCGAATCAGTGGACGAGGGATTATGATGTGGTGTATCTTGACTTTACCAAAGCCTTCGACAGAAATCCCCACGAAAGATTAATAAGAAAAGTGGAGGCTTATGGCATTGGAGGAGATATTCTGAAATTAATTAGGGTGTGGTTACAGGACAGGAAACAGCGAGTGAGCATTAACGGCACTAAATCCAATTGGAGCAATGTCACTAGTGGAGTACCCCAAGGCTCAGTACTTGGACCATTATTATTTATTATACAGTATACATTAATGACGTAGATATAGGCATAGAAAGCAACATAAGTAAATTTGCTGATGACACTAAAATAGGGCGTGTAATTAAATCTGACGAGGACTTCACAAAACTAAAGGAAGATCTAAAAAAAATTTTGACTGGTCTGAAAAATGGCAGATGAAATTTAATATGGACAAATGTAAAGTACTTAGTCTAGGAGATGTAAACAGAGAAACCAGATATCAAATGAACAATGATGTCATTGAGAAATCTGACTGAGAAAGATTTTGGAGTAATGATAAGTAGGAATCTTAAACCAAGACAACAATGTGTATTTGCTCGAAACAAGGCTTGCAAGACGTCACTTAGATTACACAGTTCAGTTCTGGTCACCGTACCACAGAATGGATATAGAATCCCTAGAAAGCATTAAGAGGAGAATGACAAGACTAATCCCGGGCATTAGGAACCTTGATTACAGAGACAGGTTAAAGCATCTTAATTTGCACTCCCTCGAGAGACGTAGAGTGAGGGGCGATACGATAGAAGTGTATAAATGGAAGTCATGGCTAAACAAAGGTGATACAGGTTGACAATCCCTTATCCGAAATCCATGGGACCAGATGCATTTCGGTTTTCAGAATGGCTAGGGTTTTTTTTTTTTTTTTTTTTTTTTATTGTAACAGCCCACCCAGGCACAGGTCACTGACCCACATTGGGGCCTGGGGGCTAAAATATAATAATAATAATAATAATAATAATAACAATAATACTGTAATAATAATAATAATAATAATAATAATAATAATAATAATACAGTCAACCCTCACTTTACGCGGTTAATGTAACCCACAGGGTACCGCGGAAAGTGAGAAACGCGTAAAGTGAATAACATAACATATGGGATTAAATGAAATAGAGACCGGCTGACCCCCAAACTCCACTTTTTCCAACACAATACCTATGTTCTAGTAAAAATATCATCTTAATTTTATGATGGTACATGCACACAATTAATACTTAAGAGAAATAGAGAAATACAGTCGCCAAGTTAATGTCCATTCAAATAATGGACACGACTCCCTCCCCCTCTTCTCACACTACACTGCTGGCTCTTCCCTCTGAGAAATTTTGGGGGGAAAACCAGGTATAGTAATAAATAATACCTCAAACTAAAGTTAGGATAATATAATTGACATTGCTGGATTCCTTGTAAGACCAGGAATATTTTGAATATAAATGTCATATATTTTTCACAAAAGATAACATATTTACTCAGATTAAACATTACATCTAAAATTTGTATGTCTAATGCAAAATCTATGATGTTTATATTCAAAATGATCATCAAATTGTAAGAATTCCAGCAATGTAAATTATATTCTGGCCGGGTAATTTGTATGAATTTTATGAGCTAAAATAAAAATCTTCAGTTAATAAAAAAAAAAATATTCTTCACACGGTAACAGATGGTCGGTCGCCGGTCCCTCCCTCCCTCCCCCCCACCCCCCACCAACGTCCCTACTAGATAAATGTGTGGGAATACCAGACTGTTTACCTTTTTAGTAATAAATAATAAATCAGACTAAAGTTAGGATAATATAATTGACATTGCTGGATTCCTTGTAAGACCAGGAATATTTTGAATATAAATATCATATATTTTGCACAAAAGATAACATATTTACTCAAGAGTAAACATTATATCTAAAATTTGTATGTCTAATGCAAAATCTATGATGTTTATATTCAAAATGATCATCAAATTGTAAGAATTCCAGCAATGTAAATTATATTCTGGCCGGATAATTTGTATGAATTTTATGAGCTAAATAAAAAAATTATACTTCACCCGTGTAAAGGGGTACACCCACCGCGGAATGTGAGCATCCTGGGTTCTGGCAGGGCACCACGTAAATGTGGAAACGCGGAATGTGGGACCGCGTAAAGTGAGGGTTGACTGTAATAATAATTCATAGGTCTAGGTCGTGTTCCTCACTTTTGATCTTTTCTCATTCTTGTATTTCTTTATTATTATTATTATTATTATTATTATTATTATTATTATTATTATTATTATTATTATTATTATTATTGTTATCATTCTTATTTTATTTTTGTGTATTTTTTATTAAAAATTTTATTTACTAAAAATAATTATTATTATTAATGTATTATCATTATTATTATTATTATAATTATTATTACTATTACATTTTCACCCCCCAGACCCCGATGTGGGTCAGTGACCTGTGCCCAGGTGGGCTGTTACAAAAAAAAAAACAAAAAAACAAAATTGCTTCACAAAAAACTTTCGGTTTTCAGAGCTTTTCGGTTTTTGGAATTTTGGATAAGGGTTGTCAACTTGTATAACAAAGGTACTCAAACTATCCAACCAGGAACGAACTCGTATCGATGGTTTTAAATTCAACAAATTTAGATTTAGGCGCGAGAGAGGTAAACATTGGTTTGGAAATAGAGTAGTGGATGAGTGGAACAAGTTACCAAATATCATCATTAACTTTAACACGCTGGATAGCTTCAAACATACTGTAGGTTGGGTGGATATATGAGCAATAGGGGTTGGGTGTAAAGGGGACTGCCCAGTATGAGCCAATAGGCCCGCTGAAGTTTCCTTCATTCTTATGTTCTTATGTACAGTATACCTTACCTTACCTCCCCGCCCTCCACGTTCTTAACCTATCCCTCACTCCCCTCTCCTCCACATGCATCAGTCAACAATCATTATAAACCTACAATAAATCAACCTTATATAGTTACTGTATTATAAAATGTTACTGTACAGTCTGTGTCTGTCTCGAGGTTGTCGTGGTTTGCCGTGTATGGGGCGTACGTGTTGGTGCTGGCGCTCATCTGCATCGTTGTGCTGCCGCTCTCTGGAGTCTTTAAACACGTCAACCTCCTGCTGCTGTTCATCCTCTTTATTCTGTACGGCTGCTCCTCCATTGTTTTTGCCTTCATGATGACTCCCTTCTTCAACAGGGCAAAGGTAATTATCACCTATTGACTTCATGTTTTCAGTACAGTAAATCAAAGGTTTATTGAACCCTTTTGCTGTCATGAAAACTTTCTTTTTCATTAAACCAAAGGTGTAGGATTATTGACACAATAATGTCTTTATCAATACTGTATGTTAAACAAGAGTCAAAAGTACATCCAATAGTTGACATTGACTGTAAGAAAATGTCAAGTTAAAATCCTTATAACCTGCCCAGGTAGAAGAAATATACAGGTCCTCAATCATGGGTCCAGTTTCTTCCAGTACAGGTACAGTAGACTCTTAAAAATCATGGGGGTTAAGTTCTTGAGAAACCCCATCAATTTGGAAACCTTAGTTGAATGGGTAAAAGGGAGCAGGTTCCTGGTGGTAAGTTGAACACTGATATTGAAACAGTTTATTTAGCTAGAAGAACACAGATACAGAGTCGATTAATAATAACAATATTAACATGGCTGAGCCAGTTGAGAACCTGAGCTCTCTTTGAGGCACCTGATATATACTATACATGTGTCTCAAGGAAGTATTATGTAACATTTAGTATCATCTGGATTAGTACAATAGCATGGTGGTAATAAGAACATATCAGTATATTACAACGGTTATCACTTTGATATTTATTTATTTTATTAATTTTACTTATACTGTATATATACAATATATATACAGTATACATAAATATATACAGTAAAGCTTCGAATAACGACGGTAATGTGTCCTCCAATATTGCAGTGTAAGGTGAATCATTGTATCGCGACTCATTAATGACCATTAAAATAAAGCAATAATAATGAGATGTGTTCCCAAGTGTGACCTTTTCATATCTTTTGTGTGGCTTTTTACCCTCCTCTCCCCCCCAAAACAATACAATTAATGAAAAGTCCAAACTATATTCTTTAAATAATGTTTCTGAATGGTCCTTATACTGTACAATATAAATGAATAATAATATGGTCACACAAGAGGAGACGGGACGCCATTGTTTTCTTGAGTGTTTACAGCCGGTAGTCCGGGACGATAGTTCTACACGAGAAAATGTAGAAATAAGACCCTGGTTGAAGCTGTAGTAAAATTAATGTAAAAAAATAATATATGTTTTAACTAATGTTATTTAATGTTAATAAATGGAACAATCGAAGTAGCTAACCACTAATGGTAAAGAAAAAAAAAATGAGATGGATTGGGAACGCCAACATATATGTGCTCATTTAAGGATACCGCGTCATTTATCTTTTTAAGAATACAGTATGTACAAAAGATTCATTATTGTTTATTACTGAATATGTATTTGATTGAATTAATCTTTATATATGCGAAATGAACAATACAATTCATTAATAATACGTAGATTATTAAAACACACAAGAGGATAAGAGACGGCATTGTTGTCAGTGTTTACACCCATAATGTCAGTTGTCCACCTGAAACTGAAGAAAATAAGACCCTGGTTGTTGTAGTAGTAAAATTAATGTAAAAGATATGTATGTTTTAATTAATGTTTTTAATGTCTTATTTCTTCAGTTTCTTATATAGAACCTTCGTCACTCACAACAACAATGGCGTCCCGTCTCCTCTTGTGTGACCATATTATTATTAATTTATATTGTATAAGGACCATTCAGAAACATTATTTAAAGAATATAGTTTGGACTTTTCATTAATTGTATTGTTTTGGGGGGGAGAGGAGGGTAAAAAGCCACACAAAAGATATGAAAAGGTCACACTTGGGAACACATCTCATTATTATTGCTTTATTTTAATGGTAAGTAATGAGTCGCGATACAATGATTCACCTCACACTGCAATATTGGAGGACACATTACCGTCGTTATTCGAGGCCTTACTGTACTTACTGTGCTTTAGTATAAGTTTTTGAATGAGTTATTACATAGAGTGTGAATTTGTTACAGGTTGCTGGATTAATAGGTAACCTGACACAAGTGGCTTTCAGCTTGTTATTTTACCTCCAAGTGTATCTGGGAGATTCCATTAACCAAGGAGTATTCTGGGCTCTGGCATTACTCTCTCCATGTGCTTTCTCTTTTGCTGTTGATAAGGTAAGTGACAGTTTTCATTTGACAATATTATATTTTGTTTAAAAATGAAATACATTTCTCTTGCATTCAATCCTTCCATTGCAGTATACAGTACAGGTACAGTCCTGGACATTTCCACGTAGGACACTCACCACAGATATGAGACTAGGTAATCTGAAGCAACAGGCAGAGATTCATATATCTGGTAACAATGTGTGTGTGGGGGGGGTGTTAATGAGGAGTGCAGGAGGTGTAGGAGTAACTGAGTATTGTGCTTAAAACAGTTGTTACATGTTGTTTCAGCATATTATGGATAGATGAGATAGAACAGGGTGATTATGATTAAGGAAATGGGTTTGCACTTGTATTAATACCTACAGTATACACTCTCAATTTAGCGGAAGGAATTTTTTCCGATATTTTTCACTCGATTTAATGAACTACTGTAGTTCGCTGAATTGAGATTAATTCCATAAATACGCTCACACCTACAGAGACACCTCAGACACATGATATGTACTGTACATAGAAACATCATTCATACCTTCCCTTAAACTACGAGGTTCAGTGTTATTTTTTCTCAATTCTTTCTATAATTTCCAAACTTTTTTCCAGTTGACTGCTGCACTCTTTTGACTTTCTCCCCCACACCACTTCCTTTCTGAGACTTCTGAGAGACTTTCAGCACGATGTCTAAACACAGTAGTTAGTTGACCAAGAGGTAGACCTACAGGTAGCAGTGAACAACACACGTGGTGGTGGCAGGACACACACTGAGCGGATGTAAACAAACCCCAGGCACCAAGTGGCGCATTTGGCACAGAATTTAATGGAATTACGCTCGATTTAACAGAAATTTTGATTTAACAGAAAGGGGCGGCTTCAATTAGTTTGTTAAATTGATAAAATACTGTACAGTACACTGTGATTGGTGGGTTACTAAAGGTGGTGTAATAAGTTGAGTCTTATGTAAACCACCAGGACAATATTCCTCCATAACTGTGTCCCCTTATGCCTTGTTGACTTCCTCCATGACAAGATGTGATGGTGTGTATTTCAGCTTTGTTGGGTGGTGGTGGTGGTGTGCCCTCCACTCCTCACACACACACACACACACACACCTCCTGCCACCCAACACAACACTTACCCTGTACAGTATTACCACTAACTACCAGGTGGTGGTGTGCCCTCCACTCCTCACACACACACACACACCTCCTGCCACCCATCACAACACTTACCCTGTACAGTATTACCACTAACTACCAGGTGGTGGTGTGCCCTCCACTGCTCACACACACACACACACACACACACCTCCTGCCACCCATCACAACACTTACCCTGTACAGTATTACCACTAACTACCACACATGGTGACTTTAGTATTCAAATTTGAACATAAACAGTCAATTAAATGATATGAAAAAGGGAAGATCTTTTTTCACGAATGAAGAAAACAAAACCAAATTGCAAGATGTTGTTTTTGCGCATGACTGAGGGTCCTGTGTTGTCGCGTCTCCGTAACAAAGCCTGTTGGCTATTAGGCCTTTGTTGTTGAGCGGCAGAAATTGGATAGTAAATGCATAAGAGCATCAAGATCGTCTTAGTGATGTGAATGTGTAAATCAATGTAGCATTTTTAATGTTATTCGCAATTATATATTGAAATATTTTCCCTACTTGACTGGAGCAATAAGCCGTGGGGATACAACCATAAAATAATTGCCATATGAGAAGGTTTATTCTGAAAATTTTAAATGAGGCGTGTCCTTGGCTGTGACTGATTATCAAAATATGATGAGACAAAACTCACATAGAAGATAGATTACATATATATATATATAGGAAGTATAGAGAGTAGTAATGTAAAGATAGGAAGGTTTGGTAGCGTGGCCAGGATGTTATTTACTCTGTGTCAATACACTTATCTTCTACGTCAATACACATATCTATTCTTCTCAAGGGACAACTTGTTAAACACCTCTTCGATACAACTATTTATTAATTCACTCAATGACATGGACATGTTAACTTGGTGACTTTACCTGAACATACCACAGGGGCTGAAATATGTAAGGCAGTAGTAAACAACTAGCTACTTGACAAGTTGACCCTTTACAAAGTAGTTTCCATGACATCTGATGGTGCACCCAACATGATTGGTAGAGAAGCAGGTTTTGTAAATGTGTTTACATAATATTTTGGACATCCACTGGTGGGCTGTCATTGTATTGCACACGAGGAGGCCTTGTGTGCAAAAGCTGGCCATAAGGAACTTGAAGTAGTGATGAAAATTGTAACTAAGGTAGTCAGTTTTATTTGTGTGTGCTTTGAAAAAAGACTATTTCAGTATATACTGAGTGAAGTGAATCAGTGTATAAAGGACTACTGATGTACAATAATGTTCATTGGCTTAGTTGAGGTTCTGTCCTTAAACTATTGTTGAGTGTTTGGATGAAGGACTACTGATGTACAATAATGTTCATTGGCTTAGTTGAGGTTCTGTCCTTAAACTATTGTTGAGTGTTTGGATGAAATTCATCTGTTTTTGATGATTGACAAATTTTCTTGTCAAGAATTATCTCGCGTGTTTTTGATTGATGCTTTTTACAGATTTATCCTCACATTTAAATGACTTGACCACCAAATTACAAGGATCTGGCAAAACACTTGATGTTATGTTTCATAACATAAAAACCTTTGAAATCAAACTGAAAATTTTTAAACGTGATGTTGACAACGGCACTTTTAAATATCTCCCAAACCTATAAAAACACATGACTGATATTGAAATTCATGAATAAACAGACATTCAGAACCTACATATGCAATTTTCAAGCATCACAGATTCAACTATTGAACACTTTTCATTAAGATTTACTAAGTTCAGGTCATTTGAAGAAACTGCAAAATTCATAAACTGTGCAGACATTGTAACATTAGACAAACTGAATTTGGAAATGTTGCAGTGGATTGATTTGGGTAATTTTGAGATGCAATTGTTTGATTTACAAAACAGCTCAATTTGGAGGCAAAAATTTGTCGACTTAAGAGCTGAACTAGAAAATATTGAGAGAGATCGGTTAGTGTCTGGATCAGTGCAGTAAATGAGGTTCTGAAACTCTGGAATTCCATTCTTGAAACTTTTGACTGTCTGAAAAATTTAGCAATGGCAGTATTAAGAGTACAGTAGTTGCATCTACATATTCATTGAGTCGTCGTTTTCAGTGATGAACTTTGTTGAGTGTAATTATAGGGGAAGACTTACTGATTAAGCTAGAGCTGCATGCAAGGCTCTCAAACACCAGCCTGATGTAAAGTATCTGAGCTAGAGCTGCATGCAAGGCTCTCAAACACCAGCCTGATGTAAAGTATCTGAGCTAGAGCTGCATGCAAGGCTCTCAAACACCAGCCTGATGTAAAGTATCTGAGCTAGAGCTGCATGCAAGGCTCTCAAACACCAGCCTGATGTAAAGTATCTGAGCTAGAGCTGCATGCAAGGCTCTCAAACACCAGACTGATGTAAAGTATCTGAGCTAGAGCTGCATGGGAGCTCTCAAACACCAGCCTGATGTAAAAGTATCTGACTAGGAAGCTGCATGCAAGGCTCTCAAACACCAACCTGATGTAAAGTATCTGAGCTGGGAGCTGCATGCAAGGTTGTCAAACACCAGCCTGATGTAAAGTATCTGAGCTAGAGCTGCATGCAAGGCTCTCAAACACCAGCCTGATGTAAAATATCTGAGCTAGAGCTGCATGCAAGGCTCTCAAACACCAGCCTGATGTAAAGTATCTGAGCTAGAGCTGCATGCAAGGCTCTCAAACACCAGCCTGATGTAAAGTATCTGAGCTAGAGCTGCATGCAAGGCTCTCAAACACCAGCCTGATGTAAAGTATCTGAGCTAGAGCTGCATGCAAGGCTCTCAAACACCAGCCTGATGTAAAGTATCTGAGCTAGAGCTGCATGCAAGGCTCTCAAACACCAGCCTGATGTAAAGTATCTGAGCTAGAGCTGCATGCAAGGCTCTCAAACACCAGCCTGATGTAAAGTATCTGAGCTAGAGCTGCATGCAAGGCTCTCAAACACCAGCCTGATGTAAAATATCTGTCATCATTGGTGCAGCAGCAAAACTCTCACTCAGAGTAAAATATTTTTATTTATCTCTATTTGATTGTTTTATATTTTGTAATATTAACCAAAGCTTATCGTTTCCTATGTTGCTTATAAGGTCCAGTACTACAGTATTTATAAATTAGGTTATTTTTCAATTGTCTTTAAAAACATTGATGTTAATTTTTTGTACAGACTTTCATTTATTTTAATCTCTCTCTATTATATTTTTGTTATAATAAAACAAGTAATACAAGTAAATAAGCAACAGTGTGTTAGGAGTTTATATATAACACAAATATATATAATAGTTCTGGAACTCTGGCCTGAAGTAAACACTTATTTTGGAGTTTCTTTATTTATACAAAACTGTATACACAAGTTCTGAGTTTGGGAGAGAATGTGTTGTGAATTAAAGTGTCTTGAGTGCACTTATATATGAGAACACTGAAGTGAGGTGTTCACGCTGTTACTAGTGGTAAGAGTCGATCTCTCTCCTGTCTCTATGACAAGAGAGAGATGAGGAGCAGGCCAGGTCTGTTATGACTTGGTTGACCTTGTCTGCCCTCTAGAGTTTGGGAGAGAAAACACGTCAGATATCCTGTTGTGCTAACATGAGCTGACCTCAGCCTGCCCTCGCTCGCTCCTCGAAAGAATTTATCCTCAGCCATGTATAATGTCAACAGCTGAGGCACAGTTGAATAACTAAGTGAATAATTTGGTATTATACATTTGGGTAAGTATTTATATAATGCAAATGGTGCTGTTACAACAGGACTCCTTTCTTCTGAGACAAAGGTCCATTATTATTACCACAAGATCATTAATTTTACCTCTTGTGAATTACTAGTTATAAATAACATATAGTTCCTAAAGCTGTCCTATTTAAAACAATTCAGAGAATTATTGGCTGCCTAAACAGACTTCCCTAAGAATTTTTTCAAGCATTTTGTTCTCTTTCTCCATAAATCTTTTGTAAAATACCAATAAAATAATAATAATAATTGCTGCTCAAAATTCTCACGGACAAGCGAGAGAATTTTTCAGAAAATTATCACCAATTTGGGTACACGCTCTCAAAAAGGTTCGCCACCCTTGTGCTAGAGACTATCAGCTGATTGAAAAGGTCCAAAGGAGGGCCAGCAGACTGGTGCCTGCTCTACGGAACCTCAGTTATCCAGAGAGATTAGAACGTCTGCAACTGCGTAGCTTACACAGTTCTATAGACGGGCAAGAGGTGACCTAATTCAGGTTTATAAACATCTCAGAGGACACTACTCATTGAATGTACAAACATGGACCTGGCGGACGCTCGCCTCACAAGGGGTCACAGCTCAAGGTTGAAGAAGCCTCAGGCCCAGAAAACTGTGAGGGCAAACTTTTTTGGAGTGAGGGCTGTGAACTCTTGGAACAATCTACCAGACAGTGTTGTGATGGCACCGAGTGTGAGCTCTTTCAAGGCCAGACTTGACCAACACTGGAGCAGGTTCAGGTACATTCAGGAGCCGGTGCATGTCCAGTATTTGCCAACAGAGTGTAACAGAGACGTGACCGATCACCCAAGCGGCTAATGAGGCAAGCAGTGGTGAAGAGGATAAAAGTAAAAGAAGTAACTTCATGCATCGCAAAACTCAGTGACACCGGCACCTCCACTCTCCAACCCCTAACCTTCCTCTTTCCATACCTTACCCCCACACACACACAGACACATTGTTACTAGATAAATGAATCTCTTCCTGTTGCTTCAAATTTCTTAGTCTCACATTCACAGGGATCATATTTGTGTTCTAATGTGGTAATGTCCCGTCGGTCCTCCACCAACCCTGAGACTCATGAACCTGTGAGTCAACCCGAGACACCACACAGGTACGCGAGTCTCGGTTCGTGGACGGGACGGAGGCCTGACGAGACTCTTTTCCCCGACTGTATGCAAGAAAATTCTGACGAGTTTCTCAGGTACAGTAGATATCATATTTTGCTTACAGGTGATCATGTTCGACGTCCCCGGCGGAGGTCTGGGCTTCAATAACGTGTGGGAGGGCCCAGGACTCCCATTTGCCGGCAGCCTTATTATGTTATCCGTCGACATACTTCTGTATCTCTTCCTGGCGTATTATCTGGACAGCGTCATCCCAAGTATGTCTTTTACACGAGTGTGATGTAAGGCTCTAATGCTGTGTATTTATATGTTTAGTTGACATCTGATCCTTTATTAGGGTCAAGGGTTACAGAGCAGAGATTTTGAGCAAGGATTTTAATTAACTGAGGAGACCGGCACAACACAAGAGGGGTGAATCGGATGCTTGTGCAATTAACCAGGCCGTTCACATATATTTATTGTTTGGGTTTAAGTAACGAAACCCAAACGGTAGTTCCTTTGTTTTATTATAAAAGGTTGTATATATAATTCCTGAGTGTATATCAACCGTAAGTCTCACTGTCTAGGAGTGAATGAGAAAGGGACGGCGTTTATGTATGATAAACGTTAGGTCACGTCCTTACGATATAAGTTGTTGTGAGCGACTAAAGAGTGAGGGCCTCGCTGTGCGGGCTTACAGAAATGCTGACAATGGGTCACTCCCTCCTGGGAGAGTTGCCCGCTCACGTGTCCGACTCATGTCTCACTCATAGACAGTGGAAAGTTACAGGGTGGTGAATCTGAATATAATATCAGATGTATTGACCCATTTATATAATATGTTCTGTTGATGACACAGGGGCCCATTACAGGGGCAGGTGACAGGAGAGGTTAAAAAGAGGGAATACTCAACATTCACTCATACTTAAATGTACTGTACACTCGGGGTCAAAAGTGTTGAACACTTACCAATATCTGGCATCTACTTGTGACTTATATGATTGGGATATACTAATAACACTACTTGTTATATTATGCCTGAACCACTAAATGGGATAAAACTCTCCTTAATACCCAAGATCTTCGGGTACTTACATGCCAAATACTGTCAAGTGTTCAACACTTTTGACCCCGACGGTACAGTACATACTGAACCCTTGGGTTAATTACTGAACCATTGGGTTAATTACTGAACCATTGGGTTAATTACTGAACCATTGGGTTAATTACTGAACCATTGGGTTAATTACTGAACCATTGGGTTAATTACTGAACCATTGGGTTAATTACTGAACCATTGGGTTAATTACTGAACCATTGGGTTAATTACTGAACCATTGGGTTAATTACTGAACCATTGGGTTAATTACTGAACCATTGGGTTAATTACTGAACCATTGGCTTAATTACTGAACCATTGGGTTAATTACTGAACCATTGGGTTAATTACTGAACCATTGGGTTAATTACTGAACCATTGGGTTAATTACTGAACCATTGGGTTAATTACTGAACCATTGGGTTAATTACTGAACCATTGGGTTAATTACTGAACCATTGGGTTAATTACTGAACCATTGGCTTAATTACAGTCAACCTTGCTTTACTCGGTCCCACATTCCGCGTTTCCACGTTAACGCGGTGCCCTGCCAGAACCTAACGTGCTCACATTACGCGGTGCGTGAACCCCATTACGCGGAGAGTGTCCGGCGCGACGCTATTTTTAGATTCGCGCCACCCGCCCGCCTGCCTGCCTGTGCTCTCGCCTCTCCCTCCTCCTCCTCCCTCCCTCCCTCCTCCCTCCGCCTGGGCAAGCCGCGCGGTAAGGTTGCGCAGTGTGTGTCTTTGTTGCGTTATCACTGACGTCATATGACGTATCGGACTGTGATTGGCCATGCATCCCTACCCCCCTCTGCTGCTAGCTGTAATTGGCTTAAAGTATTATGACGTGTCCACCCGGGGGAGGGAGGGAGGGAGGAAAGACGATCCTTGACCTAGCCGCGCCAGTTTCATCCCTCCACGCCAGACCGTGTAAACGCGTATCCATTGTTCTGTAAAATGGCTTCCGCCGGACCACCGTCCCCAGAGAGAAACCTTTCCTTACCTGGACCCAGCGGCACTAAGCCAAAGAAGACACGACGTTCCTTAAGCTACGAGGTGAAGTATACTATCATCCAAGAGTTGGAGAAAGGAACAAGGCAGGTTGATTTGGCGCGCCAGCATGGTGTGAATGAATCTACGATTCGAACAATAAAGAAGGATGCAGCCAAGATAAAGGAGCACATGAAGATCACAAAGTCTACAGGTGCTTCGATGATCAAGTATTTTCACAACCAGGTGCTTCTCAAGACAGAAAAATTACTTGTGAGCTACTTGGTGCGTCAGGCGCGACGGAACATGGCGGTCGACACGCGCTCTGTTAAGGAGTACGCACGTGAACTGTACATGGCAGTGGCACGAAAGATGGGAATTACAGAGCCCAAACCCTTTAATGCTTCCTCTGGGTGGTTACAGAGGTTTAAGATCCGGAACAAGATCACCAATATAAACATTGGTGGTGAAGAAGCGAGTGCTGACCGTGCTGCGGCTAGGGAATTTCCTCCGTTTTTACGTGAGATTATGGAGGAAGGACAGTACAGTGATGACCAGGTGTTTAACATGGACAAATCTGGTCTTTTCTGGAAAAGCTACCTTCCAAGTCCTTCATTGTAAAGAATGCCAGCAAGATTCGGGGCCGGAAGATGCAGAAGGAACACATCACCGTCCTGTTTACCACCAATGCCTCCGGTACCTGTAAGCTCAAGTTATCGGTGATCCACACAGCACGCAAGCCGCACTCCTACAAAACCATGGACATGACCAAGCTAAATGTCCACTGGCTGACCGCACGTAAGGCGTGGATGTTCTCTACACTGTCCCTCTCCTGGTTTGATGACTGTTTTGTTCCCGATGTAAAGAAATTCTGTGAGCGACAGAATGTGCCATTCAATATTTTGTTGCTGCTGGACAACGCACCAGGACACTCGCCCCTACTGTTAGATCGTCACCCCAACGTAAAAGTGGTCTTCCTTCCTCCCAACACTACGTCTATATTACAGCCCATGGACCAAGAGTTAATCTGTAATGTAAAAGCTGCATTCTCTACGAAAAAATTCAAACTCCTGAACGACTACACCAACACCAGGGAAGAGTTGCGTAACCTGAGTGACACCACCACCGATAGCAAGAGCGAAGAAGATGAGGATCAACAGTTGGCACAGCAAAAAATACTGTTCAAACAATTCTGGAGAGTATTTAACATCAAGAAAGCTGTGGACCTCTTGGTGGAGTCATGGGACCAACTGTCTATTGCTACAATTCGTCACGCATGGAGACATGTGTTGCATGGAATACCAGGTGAGAGGAGGGGTCAATCTGTGACTGGTGAGGTTCAGACTGTTGCAGTAGCAGTGGACCTTGCCAGAGAAGCTGCGCAGACTGTTACAGTTCCAGGCTTCTCCGAGACCACCAACGACGACATCCTGGAGGTGATAATGGAACCTGATGTGACTACCGAGGAGATGGTACATGATGATGACGACGTCAGTGAAGAGGCAGGTGGTGCGTCATCCCAAGAAGAACAACACTTATCCCATAGTAATGTTAGGGGTGCCATCGAGTGTATCGAGAAAGCCAAGCTCCTCCTTTCCGACGACCCTGACTCAAACAGGTATGAAATCTTCACTACCCAGCTGTTGCAGACTATGGAGCCCTACATCAAGGTGTATCACGACAACATCAACACCAGCCGTCAGCAAAGCATAACAGATTTCTTCGCCCGCAACCCACCACAGCCAGCCCAAGCCAGTGATAGTGACAGTGAAGATGACTTTGAGGGATTTGTCAGGGAAGCCCTGACAACTATAACTGATAGTTATGGTGATGCACCTAGTAATGGTGATTCGCCTGAGTGCCAGTAATCTGCCCTCTGCCTCGGAACCAGCCTCCATCCCCGTATGCCGACCCATCTCTTCTACTAACGTAAGTGTTCCACCTAAGTTTTAGTTTTCCTAACCTAACCTTTATTTTCCCTAACTTAACCTTTATTTTTCCTAACCTAACCTCTTCTATATTAATTGTGTGTGCATACCATCATAAAGTTAAGATAATATTTTTACTACAACATAGTTGTGTGTCGTCAAAAAGTGGAGTTTGGGGGGTCGGGCCAGTCTCTATTGGAATTAATCCCGTTCTGTTGCTCACTTTACGCGGATTTCATTTTCCGCGGTAGCCTGTGGGTTCAATTGACCGGGTAAATCGGGGTACTACTGTATTCAAATTATTCGCTGTCTTGCAAGGATTCCAGTAATACAAGTTATATTCTGCCCAGACAGAACTGACGCCTCACACCTGCGTGGGCCAAGCGTTGGGTTATGTTTGGGGTCACTCTGGGTGTGTAGTGCACATGAGTGATACTCCACAAAAACACTACAGGTTTTCAGAGCTTTTCAGATTTCAAAACTGCGACTAAGGGATTGTGGACCTGTAGTATTATTAATAATATTATTGAAGTCGTTGATGTTAATATGACTGTGTCTTTATAGTAATACCTCAAGGCATCACGCGCGACACTGCCAAGCGACCAGGCATTCTGTTCTTTTCGCTCGATTTAGTGAACTAGTTCAATACATCCCTCAATTCTTCATGGAAAGCACTGTGGCCATCAGTAGTCCATGATTTTGAGGGATTTGAGGAAGAAACAAAGTTGGACCAGGAGATTGTGTCCATTGGTCAGTCATTGGGCCTTGAAGTGGAGGAGGAGGATGTGGAAGAGCTTGTGATGTCTCATGAGGAGGAACTTACTCCTGATGACTTGAAGCAACTGGATGAGATGTTACAGGTAGAGGCTGACAGTGGTGAGGAGGAAAGGGAAAGTGATGACCATATGTCAGCTAAACAGTTGAAAGATGTGATTTACTACTGGGAGAAGTTCAGGGAACTGGCTTCAAAGTACCCAGAAGTGGAAAAATCTGAACTAACTTTGTGTCATGTTGAGGACTCAGTGGTCTCCTTCTTTAAACATAAGTTAATGGTGAGGAGGAGAGATGCCCCACAGACCACAATTGACACTTTCTTCAGTAAAAGGCAGAGGGAACAAGATGCTATCCCTCAGCCTTCCACTTCAAGAGGGAGAGAGGATGTTCATGGTGGAGAATCTGTCAGTCCAGAGGTTCCTGACATTTTCATGGAAGGTGACTCACCTTCCAAGAAGCAGTAAAATGCTTCTCCTCCACCTCCACTTCCTTCTCTTCTCCCTTCTCCTCCTCCACCTCCCACTTCAAATGCACATCATCATCATCATCCAGGAGCCTTCTACATACACACCTCAAAGTAAGTGAACTTTTCTACCATTTTTGTTGAATTTAGGCAATTTTCGGTGAGCTGGAACCAATTACCCAAAAACCCATTGAAACAATGGTTTCGGTTAACGAGATTTTCGGTTAACGAGCAACCTGCTGGAACGGATTGTGCTCGTTAACCGAGGGACCACTGTATTAGAAAATATTCCCAAAAGTTTATAATTATAATATGGACCTAAACTAGCAGAGCCTTATACACAATGTCACCTCCCTCCCCACCTCCTGCTCGGGTAATCAAAGCTAGACGTCACGTTCTGGATTGAACAAAAAGCCATTTTTTTTCTAAAAAACAGTTCTGTGATATAGTCCAGAATGAGACGTCGACATCCCACCCATCTCCACCCCTCGAGAGTTGACATTTGTTTACTGCTCGCTCTGGGGCAAGAGATGACGGTGGCAGTGCGTGTGATGGAGGGTGCGGGAGGGGGTTTTGAGAATTGCATTTAAATGCCAGGTAGCGATGTGTCCTCCTAATATTATGTTTTTAAGTAATTATTAGATGTTTTAATTGCCTGTATGTTGGCCTGGCGAGCTAATGCTAGGCATTAACATACTTAGGTATAAAGCTTGACGTAGCATTCTGGATTAAACAAAAATAACAATTACAGTAGTACCCCGATTTACACGCAGTCAATTGAACCCACAGGGTACCGCGGAAAGTGAAAACCGCATAAAGTGAACAACAGAACATATGGGATTAATTCCAATAGAGACTGGCCCGACCCCCAAACTCCACTTTTTCCGACACAATACCTATGTTGTAGTAAAAATAACATCTAAATTTTATGATGGTATGCTCACACAATTAATATTTAAGAAAAATACAGTCGCCAGGTTAATGTCCATTCAAATAATGGACTCAAATCCCCCCCCCCCCTCTTCCCAGCTCACTAGCCCCTACCTCTCTGAGAAATGATTGGGTGAAACACTAGATTTTAACGTTTAGTAATAAATAATACCTCAGACTAAAGTTAGGATAATATAATTGACATTTCTGGATTCCTTGCAGGTCAGGGAATATTTTGAATGTAAACTTCATATATTTTGCACAAAAGATAAAATACTTGCTTTGTGTAAACCAAATTATTACATTAGATCTAAAATTTGTATGTCTAATGCAAAATCCATGATGTTTATATTCAAAATGATCATCATATTGTAAGAATTCCAGCAATGTAAATTATATTCTGGCCGGGTAATTTATATGAATTTTATGAGCTAAATAAAAAAAAAAAAATTATACTTCACGCGTATATGAGTAGATGCACCGCGGAAAGTGAAAGTCCGCGTAAATGAGTAAATGAGAAATCGCGTGTAAAGCGGGGTAATACTGTACCTGTATTATGCAAAAATATTTTTTCAAGAATTTAAATAATATTTTCTATGATTCTTGTCGTTGTTCAGACTTGTTGTTACTCCGGTGTCTGGTGCCCTGGGTATTTACTATACTGTACAGTAATTGATATTAGTCAGTTTGACCAAGGACAGGTGACACAACCATGAGAGGCTTGTTTCCAGTAGAGTCCTTATGTCTTAAGTCACCCAGCCAAGTGCAGTACTGTACTAACTGGACCTCAACTTTACTGATCGGACAAGAAGCGGTGTTTCTAGCGTGGTACAGTACCGCTGCTAATACTGTCCCTCCTAAAATAAAGTTTTAATAAGTTGTGTATTATATAAGAAAATGATATTTGTGTTGTATAAAGAGATGAAGACCATTAAACTTGTCTCAACTTGATATAAGGAAACAAATATTCCAACAATTAGGAAACTTATTACATATGAGAAATATGATAGCATAGATATCATGCCTGTGAGAGTTTATTACATCCTAACTGTGGTTTACTTTCTATACTTCAGGTACATATGGGACCAAGAGGAAACCATGGTTTTTATGTACAAAATCATTCTGGACACAAAGCAACAAAAGTTTTCAGGTAGGAGAACTTGGTAGTATGTGCAGTCAACCACTAAAGACCATTTGCTGCTCCACTTGAACCACAAACTTCAAGATTCACACTCATGAATCAGAAGTATTTATTAATAGAAGAATACATCGGTCTACTGCCTCTGGTTCATGTGTGTGGATCAGAAGTATTTATTAATAGAAGAATACATCGGTCTACTGCCTCTGGTTCATGTGTGTGGATCAGAAGTATTTATTAATAGAAGAATATATCGGTCTACTGCCTCTGGTTCATGTGTGTGGATCAGAAGTATTTATTAATAGAAGAATATATCGGTCTACTGCCTCTGGTTCATGTGTGTGGATCAGAAGTATTTATTAATAGAAGAATATATCGGTCTACTGCCTCTAAGTCCCCATACTCAAAGTTTGGCAATTTATAGTAGTTTAATGGCAACAATAGCCATCCATGGTTTCACGCTGCACGTGCTGGCAACGTCGCAGAAGATTGCCGAGTAACGTACCGGTCACTTGACTTCGCGCATGAGCTGGTAGAGAGAGGTAAGTGTGAGTCAGTCGACAATGAGTTTTAAGCGGGTACAGAGGGTCGCTATGTTGGAGGCGTACTTTGAGTCCAAATCTTATCAACGGTGTGTTGAAATCTTTTGAAGGAGATTCCCCGATAGGCCAACACCATGTAAGGCTACTGTTTATGAACTGGTGAAACGTTTTCGTGACACAGGAAGTGTGAAAGACAGACCAAGATCCTGGCGGCGGTCAGTAGTGACATCAGAGTCTGTTGCAATCTCCCTATAAGTCATTGCGGCGTCCGTCACAGCGTATTTTGAGAATTTACTTACCCGTTTAAATAAAACCAGAGGCCTCGTCCATGAAAAATATCGTGTCCAGCACTGTGACTTTGTTGTGTGTGAAGCTGTTGACCCAACGGCAGTAGTGAAAACACTTGTCTGTGTCCAACGGGCGCAGCTCTTGCACTACCCTGACTCTGTGTGAACATTTGACAGTCCTGTGAACGGCTGACCAATATGCTCCCACTTGAAGGTGATCTGTACAGTTAATGAAGTTACCTGTACAGTTAATGAAGGTGATCTGTACAGTATAAGTCCTTTATACAATGGACGAGTTGACGGTCGGAGTTTTTTGGGAAGATGGCAGGTCAATGGGTAATGAAAATGCTTAAATTCACTATGGCAATGATATTTTAAAATAAATTGATCCATAAAGTGTCAAAAAATAAGGGTTAAAGTTGCTAAAAAGTCACGTGACTGTGAAATGCTCTGTGATTGGTTGTGACGTCACTGGTTGGGGTGAGCTTCCCAGCAGGAGGCAGTCAGCTGTAGTTGTCCAAACTTCTCAGCTGATAGGCTCAGTAAATAAATATTATTATATAATTAATTGTGCTTTACTGTGCAACACAGTAATACTATTTTGAATATATAAATATTACTAAGCACATAAACTAATTCAATGGATATTAGCTGCCCCATGCAACAAATTTCATAATATAAACATTCCAAACAATATTGGTATTATTTTGATTTTGGTCATCTGGGGAACCTTAAGATTCTAACTATGGGATTAAGTACTTTAAACAATAAGACACATTATCTCTACAGGATTTCTATCGCAAAACATTTTTCAATCGCATAAGAAAATACAGTGTGTGATGAGTTACAAGGTTAGCTTAACATACATCGGTAAGGGGGGGGGGGTAGTAACTCAAAAGTAGTGATTTCTGATAGAAGTGAAGGTCTAAATCGCTCATAACTCATCACAAACCATCAGGAAGAAAAAACATAGTCTGCATGTCTAAGTACAGGGATGACCAAAACTTAAAATTTACCCAATACTCCCTATAGTCTATCTCGAATATAAATATCCAAATACTTATGGTAGTTACAGTAAATTGTACCCATTAATTAATATAAATGATGAAATATCCCAGTGGTTCATTAGTGAATCATCAAAACAATAACAGCACTATGTTGTCATGTTTAGCTAGCATCAGGCATTATCAAAACAAAGTCCAGACAATGTTATTACTTGTAAATTGACTCATATCTCCATCTAGTACTGATATACTCTGTAAATGCACTGAAAAATAGAGAAAGTCTACCAGGTAAGAGTACATGACAGCTGAGGTGGTGTGTGTACGTGTTCTGGGTATCATGTTCTATCTACAGGAGCGAACACAAACACCTGTACAGTTTCGTAGGTTCTATTTATTGGATAAACAGATATGTACACAAGGGAGGTGGTGCTCCTTACTCTGTATGGGGGTCAACTAGCCTCTAGGCAACATGTGAAGTGATACATTAGCAGCTTCCATATGTCGCCAGGCACATTAATTAAGCATGTGGGACATGGTAAATACATTGCCACACGCTGCTAGCTAGGCTGAATAAATAGTGTATGTAAATGGAGCACATACATAATATACATACATAATACATAATATACATACATAATATACATACAGCATACATAATATACATACAGCATACATAATATACATACAGTGTGAACATGGGAGGTTTTTATATCCAAAAGACCATAAGAATGGAGGACACTGCAGCAGGCCATACTGGTCAGTCCTACTTACACTCAACCCCTATAGCTCATATATCCATCCAACCCATGTTTAAAGCTGCTCTTAACGACACATTTCTCACTTCCCAAATGTCCATGACTTGACCATAAAAAACACCCTTAAAATTTTCCTGAACGTGGAATTTGGGGTGTGGAGAACCATCCTTTGTACTACCTACGACTGCAGCCCAGTGGTGTTTGAAACTAGAAACGTCACTGCCAAAGGCGGCCCTGTTTCTAGAGAAATAACCTTATCTTGACTATTATAGCAGGACTTTAAGCTTTTTTACAAATTACAGTACTGTATATACAATTTACCGTATCACTACGAACGTGGCAGAATATCTCTTGTGTTTGCCCAGAAATATTCTTTATAATACAGTAAATAACCACTACCATACACTACACTACACTACACTACACTACAGTAAACTACACTACACTACACTACAGTAAACTACACTACACTACACTACACTACAGTAAACTACACTACACTACAGTAAACTACACTACACTACACTACACTACACTACACTACACTACATGCTACACTACACTACACTACACTACACTACACTACAATGCTTACACTACACTACACTACATGCTACACTACACTACACTACACTACCAGTAAACTACACTACACTACACTACACTGCGCTGCACTGCGCTGCCACGCTGCACTAGCTGCGCTGCTGCACTGCACTGCAGTGCTACGCTGCGCTGCGCTGCAGTGGCTACGCGCTGCACTGCGCTGCGCTGCGCTGCGCCGGTGAGCTGCGCTGCGCTGCGCTGCGATGAGCTGCGCTGCGCTGCTGCTGCGGTGAGCTGCGCTGCGCTGCTGAGCTGCGCTGCGCAGTGCTGCGCTGCGCTGCTGCCTGCGCTGCGCTGCGCTGCGCTGCGCTGCGCTGCGCTGCGGTCAGGCTGCGCTGCGCTGCGCTGAGCTGCGCTGCGCTGCGCTGCACTTTGCGGTGAGCTGCGCTGCGCTGCGTGAGCTACGCTGCACTGCAGTGAAGCTGCGCTGCACTGCGCTGCGCTGCGCTACGCTGCGCTGCACTGCGGTGAAGCTACGCTGCACTGCGGTAAGCTGCGCTGCGCTGCACTGCAGTGAAGCTACGCTGCGCTGCGCTACGCTGCGCTGCGCTGCACTGCGCTGCGCTGCGCTGCAGTGAGCTGCGCTGCGCTGCGCTGCGGTCAGGCTGCGCTGCACTGCGCACTGCGCTGCCGGTGAGCTGCGCTGCACTGCAGTACTGCGCTGCGCTGCGGTGAGCTACGCTGCGCTGCGCTGCTGCGCTGCTGCAGTGAAGCTGCGCTGCACTGCGCTGAGCTACGCTGCGCTGCGGTGAGCTGCGCTGCGCTGCGGTGGGCACGCTGCGCTACGCTGCGCTGCGCTGCGCTGCGCTGCGCTGCGCTGCGGTGCGCTGCGCTGCGCAGTGAGCTGCGCTGCGCTGCGCTGCACTGCGCTGCGCTGCGGCTGCTTTGCGCTGCGGTGAGCTGCGCTGCGCTGCGCTGCGCTGCGCTGCGCTGCGCTGCGCTGCGGTGAGCTGCGCTGCGCTGCGCTGACTGCGCTGCGCTGCGCTGCGCTGCGCTGCGGTGGGCTGCGCTGCGCTGCGCTGCGCTGCGCGCTGCGCTGCGCTGCGCTGCGGTGCTGCGCTGCGCTGCGCTGCGCTGCGCTGCAGCACCGCTGCGCTGCGGTGGCTGCGCTGCGCTGCGCTGCGCTGCACTGCGTGTGCGCTGCGCTGCGCTGCGCTGCACGCTGCGCTGCGCTGCGCTGGGCTGCGCTGCGCTGCGCTGCGCTGCGCTGCGCTGCGGTGCGCTGCGCTGCGCTGCACTTTACACTGCAGTAAGCTACGCTACACTACACTACACTGCACTACACTTACGCTGCACTGCACTACACTACACTGTAAGCTACACTACACTACAATGGCTTACACTGCACTACACTACACTACACTACACTACACTACACTGTAAACTACACTACACTACACTACTACACTACACTACACTACACTACTACAGTAAACTACACTACACTACACTACAGTAAACTACACTACACTACACTACACTACACTACACTACAGTAAACTACACTACACTACACTACTACACTGCACTACACTACTACACTGCAGTAAACTACTACACTACACTACACTACAGTAAACTACACTACACTACACTTACACTACACTACACTACACTACACTGATAAACTACGCACCGCTACACTACACTACACACGCTACGCTACAGTAAGCTACACTGCACTACGCTGCACTGCGCTGCGCTGCACTGCACTACGGTACTACGCTGCCGCTGCGCTGCACTACAGTGAAGCTACACTGCACTGCGCTGCGCTACACTACGCTGCACTGCAGTAACTGCGCTGCGCTGCACTGCACTGCGGTGAACTACACTACGCTGCACTGCACTGCCATACCCTGCGTGAACTGCGCTGCACTGCACTGCACTGCACTACAGTAAGCTCACACACTGCACTGCAGTAAACTACGCACACTGCACTACACTGCACTGCACTGCACGTGAACTACACTACACTACAGTAAACTACACTACACTACACTACAGTACACTACACTACACTACAGTAAACTACACTACACTACACTACACTACAGTACACACACTGCACTGCAGTAAACTACACTACACTACACTACACTACACTACAGTAAACTACACTACACTGCAGTAAACTACACTACACTACACTGAATTACACTACACTGCAGTAAACTACACTACACTACACTACACTACAGTAAACTACACTACGCAGTAAACTACACTACACTACACTACACTACAGTAAACTACACTACACTGCAGTAAACTACACTACACTACACCACACTACAGTAAACTACACTACACTGCAGTAAACTACTACACTACACTACACTACACTGCAGTAAACTACACTTACACTACACTACACTACACTACAGTAAACTACTACACAAGTAAACTACACTACACACTACACTACACTGCAGTAAACTACACTACACTACACTACACTACAGTAAACTACACTACACTGCAGTAAACTACACTACACTACACTACACCCACACTACACTACACTACACTATACTACACTACAGTAAACTACACTACACTACACTACACTACACTACACTACAGTAAACTACACTACTACACTACACTACACTACACTACACTACAGTAAACTACACTACACTGCAGTAAACTACACTACACTACACTACACTACACTACACTACAGTAGCTACACCTACACTGCAGTAAACTACACTACACTACACTACACTACACTACACTGCAGTAAACTACACTACACTACACTACACTGCAGTAAACACACTACACTACACTACAGTAAACTACACTGCACTACACTACACTACACTACACTGCAATAAACTACACTACACTACACTACAGTAAACTACACGCTACACTACACTACACTACACTACACTACACTACAGTAAACTACCTACACTACACTGCAGTAATTACACTGCACTACCCTACACTACACTACACTGCAGTAAACTACACTACACCAGTAACCACTACACTACACTACTACACTACACCCTACACTACAGTAAACTACACTACACTTACACCTCCACTACACTGCATAAACTACACTACACTACAGTAAACTACCTCACTCACACCCATCACTACACTACACTCATTACCCTACACTCACACTACAGTACACTACACTACACTGCAGCTACACTTCACCACACTACACTACACCACAGTGAAATACACACACTTAACTCTACACCACACACTACACTACAGTGAACTACACACTGCAGTAAACTACACTGCTACACTACACTACACTACAGTAAACTACACTACACTGCAGTAAACTACACTACACTCACTACACTGATAAACTACACTACCTGCAGTAAACTACACTACACTACACTACACTACAGTAAACTACACTACACTGCAGTAAACTACACTCTACACTACACTTAACTACACTCACTACACTACACTACACTCACAGTAAACTACACTACACTGCAATAAGCTACACTACACTTACACTACACTACACTGCAGTAAACTACACTCACTACACTACACTACACTACAGTAAACTACACTACGCAGTAAACTACCCACACTACACTACACTGTACTACACTACAGTAAACTACACTACTCACTACACTACACTGCCACTACACTGATAAACTACACTACACTCAGTAAACTACACTACACTACACTACACTACAGTAAACTACACTACACTACGGTAAACTACACTACACTACACTACACTACACTGCACTACAGTAAACTACACTACACTACACTGCACTGCAGTAAACTACACTACACTACACTACACTGCACTACACTACACTACGTAAACTACACTACCTGCTAAACTACTACTACACTACACTACAGTAAACTACACTACACTACACTACACTACACTACACGTAAACTACACTACCTGCAGTAAACTACACTACACTCACCACACCACACTACACTACACTACACTATACACTACACTACAGTAAACTACACTACACTACACTACTTCACGTAAACTACACTACACCACACTACACTACAGTCTACACTACGCATACTACACTACACTACACTACACTACACTGCAGTAAACTACACTACCTGCTGATAAACTACACTACACTACAGTACACTACACTGCACTTTCAGATTACACTACACGCGTAAACTACACTACACTACACTACACTACACCACACTACACCACTACGCTATAAACTACACTTACAGCTGCACACTACACTACACTACACCAGTAAACTACACCACTGCACTACACTACACTACACTACTACAGTAAACTACACTACCCACTACACTACACTACACTACAGTAAACTACACTACCTGCAGTAACTACACTACACTACACTCTACACTACACTACACTACACTACAGTTTCTCACTACACTACACTGCAGTAAACTACACTCGCTCACTACAGTACACTACACTACAGTACACTACACTACACTACAGTAAACTACACACACTACACTACACTACAGTAACTACACTCTCTGCACTACAGTAAACTACACTACCTCTACACTACACTCATGAAGCTACACTACACCACACCACACTACACTACACTACTACTACTACACTACACTACACGTAAACTACAGTAACCTACACTACACTACAGTAAACTACACTACACTACAGTGGCTACACTACACTAGTAAACTACACTCACACTACACTACACTGCAGTAAACTACACTACGCAGTATTCACACTAGTAAACTACAATACACTACACTACACTACACTACCTACACTCAAATTAATACACTACACTTCACTACACTGTAGTAAACTACATACACTACACTATACTACTACACTACACTACAGTGAAACTACAGTAAACTACACTACACTACAGTAAACTACCCTACACTACACTGCAGTAAACTACACTACTACAGTAAACTACACTACACTGCAGTAAACTACACTACACTACACTACAGTAAACTACAGTAACCTACACTACACTACCTCACAATAAACTACACTACTCTACACTACAGTAAACTACACTACACTACAGTAAACTACACTACACTACACTACAGTAAACTACACCACACTACACTACACTACACTACACTACACTACAGTAAACTACACTACATTTCACTACACTACACTACAGTAAACTACACTACACTACACTATAGTAAACTACAATAAACTACACTACACTAAGCTATACTACACTACACTACAGTAAGCTACAGTAAAATACACTACACTACACTAAATTATTTATATTTTTCAGTTTGCCTCACTTTGTGCTTTGGAAAATGGTGCTTATGAAAACGATGATAATTTAAACAACCCAAATTTGGAACCGGTCTCCCCAAACATGAGTGGAAGAGCTGCGGTCTCCATCCATAACTTGACGAAGATCTTTCACCCTCCGAGAAAGGAACCCGTGACAGCTGTGGACAGTAAATATAAATTAATTTTATTACTTGTAGTATTGTTCAAGGATGGTTGGTACAGTAGAGTTGCTCAAAATTCTATCTTTAGGGGTCAATGAATTTCTTAGCCCAGGAGGTATAATGATTTTCTTACAGACCAAAGGTCCAGCCCAGAGAAGAACGGCACATGTAACAGTAAGACTCTACAAGGGTCAAGAAGTTCTTGCCACAGTGTGATGAGAGAACAGGCGACATGACCCTGTTAATGACCCTGCCGTCCAGCCAGTACACCAACACCTGACCAAACACACCTGTCCAGACACACCCAGATTTGTTATAATTAGGAGACGACACCTGTCGGCCTAAGATCTGCAGTTAATTGGGACCAGAAAAACGCCTCTGATAATGAATCCACTTAAAGCTGGGAATTAATCCCATAAGAAATAATGTAAAAGACATTTTTGCAATAAATAACAGCATCTGATCACAATTTGAGTGTTGACACACAGAGGTAAGTGAATTTACAATAACTGACAGAGGAGCTTATACACAAAAAGATTATGATCTAACATTTTCATAGTCAGATGGAGTTACTAGAAGCAGGATTACTGGTACTTAGTTAATTTGACTTGAATGCACGTCTGCTGTCGACATGACTGAGAAAACACTGGCAGTTGTAGAGATAATGTGTGGGTCCTGGCCACCACCTCACACGCCTCACATGAACAAGATGAAACTATCTGGCAAATAGATGGAAATTATGGGCTGGAATATTATTACTACATATAGTGTAATGGTTAAGGGAAACCCAGTCGTCCATTTTTAATAGGAATCAAACCCAGAAACATTTGCTCCTATAAAGTGAATGTTGTGTCACTAAGCACTGGGACACTTGGTACATCTAATATGTTGCCAAGGTGGGTCAGTGTCTTGGATGGCTCAGTGAGAGAGGTGCTAGCAGTGGAATTAATGTTATTGTCTGGGGAAACATACTTGCACTTTTGACAAGTATTTTGTGATCATAATATGCCTGAGACAAGTAAGCTATTTTACCATTGGTTTTATTCTTCTTTACAGATTTCAGCCTTGACATTTATGAGAGTCAGATAACTGCTATCTTGGGACACAACGGAGCCGGGAAGACAACATTGTTCAACATACTGACGGGCATGACAGCTGCAACAAAGGGCAGTGCAAAAATTTTTGGCATGGATGTTAAGTAAGTAACTCAGTATTGTAGGTGATATACTGATCATGGTGTTATTAGTTCCTTAATAACCCTGTAGTGTACAGTCAAGTGGATGACTACATCATGATAATGTGTTATATTATCAGTTTCTGTACAGTATTCTACATTAACTTACTGCTATTTCATTATTCTCTAACACTCATAATGTGATCATTCTCCATCAAACTCACTGGGGATAAGTAGATTCATCTCTGTCACACACAGTCATTCAGCCTGTGGCCTGATGGTAAAGTTCTCCTCAGTTACCCTCTAATAGTGTGGTATATGAAGTCAAAGAAAACTGCAGTAGAATCCCAGTTACTGAAATAATCTTTACTTATTCCATATTATATGGCATATAAGACACACTTTTTTGTCTGAAAAATGGCTAATAAAATCAGCCTGTGTCCTATATATGAAGTTGTGGTCTCCTGTAAGCTAATGAATCCCCCAGATGCTGTCTCCAGTAGGGTAACTTCTACCTAACACAACTCTAGAATTATAAAGTAATTATTGTAAATACAAAAGGTTGATCTATAACTACTCTGCACTGTACTGATGATGATAACCAGAGTCACCCAACTCTACAGAGGTAACTAAGCTGTAACCATTTCTGAACTCTTACAAGCATTACTGTCTATTAATGCCATACCTGCAACATTTATTTTTAAATCTACAAATACCTGAAACAAATGAAGATTTACAGATAACTTTCTTTTCACATTTGCATCTGTTAACATCACTGGCATCATTGTAGCCAAGTTAGACTCATCACTATAACCACCAGGCTACTGGGCCAAGCTGTGAGGTGTTATGGTTGTTTTTCAACTCGTATTTTTGGGTAGGTATATGTAACTTTTTTCTTTATTTTTACTGATATACATACACACACCATCCTACATACATGTTGCGAAAAAAGTAAAAGAAATAATTGTCCTAAGGGCAAACACATAAAAGGAATATCCATTTCTTTGCACACGAGTTAGCTGACTTAGTGGGGGAATGGGAGGACGGCTGGGTGGTTGGTGGTGGGGGTAGTGTTGCTATAGTGAACAGGGAGGACAGATGTACAGTACAGTAAGTCCTCGTTTAACGTTGCCCCCGATAATGTTGTTTCGTTATGACTTTGCTATTCTTTCGTTACCCATCATTCCGATAACGTCCCGCCGATTCAGTATAATGTCTTCACGAACTACTTTGTACGGTGCATCACCCTCTCTCATCATGGCGCGCTACGCTCTCACCTGTGGAGCGTCACAGCGTCCCCAAGCGTCGCCGGTCTTGTCTATAATAAATGCTTCCCGCTCAAGACTAAGTCAGTGAAAACTGTATCCATATCCAAACCCTACATCACAAGCGAAATCAAAGCAATGATAAAAGAAAAACACAAACTCCAAAGGAAATTTGCAAAAAGACCCATAACTTTCAGTGCTCCTTACGGAAGTATGAGAAATAGAGTAACTCAAGCAGTTAGAAATGCCAGACGTAACTATTATACAAATTAACTCCAGTCAGCATCAGGCAACAGTAAGAAAACCTGAAACACCGTATCATCAATTCTATTCACAACAGGAACACTCAGCCTTCGGCCCCCCACTCAACTTTTATTATAAATGATTCAGTTGTAACAGAACCCTCCCTCATTACCAACCACATCAATGAATATTTTATTAATGTTGGTAAAAATCTTACAGAGAACATCCCTGATTACCATGAGGAATTTAGAGCCTACCTGCAAAACAGACAGCAAAATGAGCTGTTCTTATCTCCTGTCACAGCAGATGAATTACTGGCCACCATAAAAATGTCCAAAGATGCAGCAGCAGGTGAAGACAATATACCAATGAGCATTGAGCATCATTAAGAAAGTAGCCCACTACCTGTTCTCCTACACATCTGTAACTCCTCCTTCACTAGTGGTGTCTTTCCGGATAAACTGAAAATTGCTAAAGTTCACCCAGCATATAACAAATCTGGGGACAAAGGTCTTTTACCGCCCCATATCAGTCCTCCCAGCCTTAAGTAAGATACTGGAGAAGCTAGCATGTAGTACACTAAATTCCTTCTGTAGTGTCAATAACATCCTTACAAACTCTGTTTGGATTTAGAGCTGGAAGGTCGACCGAGTGCTCTGCTATCCTTTACTAATGACATCTTAAACTCCTTTGATGACAGTCAGTTCACAGTCGGTATATTCCTGGACCTCTCTAGAGCCTTTGATACAGTCGACCATACCATCCTCCTGTCAAAGCTTGAACATTACGGCGTTAGGGGCCTATCCCACAATTGGTTTACCTCATATCTGTCCAACAGGAAGCAGTATGTCTGCTATAATAATCACCAATCTGACTCCTCGCCAATCTTGTATGGCGTCCCCCAAGGTTCCATTCTCGGTCCAGTATTGTTTTTGTTGTACATAAACGACATAGTCCACGCCAGCACACTCATAAAATATAACTTATTTGCAGATGATAGTAATCTCTATGCCAGCAACTCAGACCTCCATTACTTGATGAGAACTATGAACACTGAATTGACTAAAGTCAGGACCTGGGTAATAAGTAATAAACTGACCTTAAACCTCGAAAAAATCCACTACACGATCTTTCACAAAAGGAAAAACTTACCCCCAGACTTGGACCCCCTGTACCTTGGTAATACAGTCCTCAAATGCGAACAAAATATTAAATTCCTCGGAGTTATTGTTGATGAGAAACTTAGCTGGAGAAACCACATACAAGTCATTCACAGTAAAGTCAATAAACACTGCGGTATCATGTATCACACTCGTCAGTCACTCACTCTCACAGCAGTGAAAGAAATCTATCATCATCTTGTCTACCAACACCTGATACACTGTCACACACTATGGGGGGCTTCTGGCTCTTGAAAAACCCAATCTCTGGTTACTGCAGAAAAGAGAGTTGTACGGACAATGACCTACTTGAAAAAAACTGATCACACAAACGAACAATTTGTTAAATTGAAAATGTTAAAATTCGAGGATATTAACACCTACAGCTGTGCCCTATTTGTTTACAAATCTGTCAATCGCTTGATTGACAACAATTATTTCCAGTTCCGGAATAATCAGAGGTACAACTTAGGGCACCAAGAGCTACTAAGACTACCCCCCATTCGGAAAATTCCAGCTTTGGGAACAATTTTCCGAGAAAATTTCAGATCCGGCTATTGGTGAGTTCCGGGTTTGATGGATTCCGGCTAACAAAGTTAATACTTTTTAATATTTCATCATGCCTTCCACTACTGCTAGTAATTTCTTTTCAGCCGTGCTGTAATTCTTCTCTGCGGGCTTTAGTTTTCTGCTATGGTATGCCACCAGATATACCTCGCCCTTGTTTTCTTGTAGAAGTACAGCTCCGATCCTCAACATACATAGCACTCTTCAGGTGGAGGTGACCCTTGGCAGCATCTGGTGAAGCATACGCTGCTCTAACTTTCTTCTCGTTGAGCTTTATAGTGCGAACAGAGCTCTCCAACAGTCCACGCCCCACATTTGAAACACCATTTCCACGCTGCAGTGCTTCCAGCACCTTGATTTTCTGCTCCAGTATAATTGCTTACCTTGATTTCTTGGCCTTTGGGGTAGTTAATGATGTAGTGGCTGGCCTCTTGGTCATAGTGGTGATGGTTGATACACGTGGTAGAAGGAGATAGTGTCACACAATATGTCCGTTCACTAGAGCAACAGTGTGAGAACTGAGGATGTGCGAGGGTGGCGGGCAGCCGTGTAGCGTGGCCAGAGACGCGCCTGGTGGGAAACATACCGCACGGAACTTAAAATATTGTTTATTTTCATATGACTCGCGTAAAATAGTAAAGATTCGCTTTAAATTGATATGGTGTCCTTAATTGTGGGTGTCGCTTTAAATTGATTATTTTAAATCGATTCACTTTAAATCTATGTTCTACTATGCTGGCATTTGTTCTCTTGTCTTCCCAGGGAACTCGGAGGATGGAAAGTAGACTACGTTGGTGAAAGTTTTCTAGTGCCTTGAGGTGTCTCCTGTATGTGACCCATGTCTCACTGCCATATAGCAGGGTGGGGAGGACCACTGCTCGATATATGTGTAACTTTGGAGATAATTTCAGTTCCCTACAGCTGAAGACACGGTTTCTGAGTCTGCCAAAGGCATGAGATGCACATCTGATCCGATGCTGAATCTCTTCCTCGATGTCCGCGGTGGTGGACAGGTGGGAGCCTAGATATTGAAAGTGGGCAACATTAGAGAGGGTAGTACCGTTAACCAGGGGCAGGCTGAAAGAGAATCTGAGTCTTACGTACATTCACCTCAAGGCCGAAGTGTGCATACTGATCTGCGTAAGTGTTTAGGATCTCCTGTAGGTCATGTTCAGTGTGAGCAACAAGGGTGAGGTCGTCTGCATACTGAAGTTCAGTAATGGAAGCTGCCGACACCTTTGTTCTTGCCTGGAGTTGTCTTATGTTGAAAAGACCTTTCATCCGGTATTCGATGTTCACCCTGCTGGCTAAATTGGCACTGGCATGAGTAAGGAAGGCAGCCAAGAAAATGGAAAAGAGAGCTGGTGCCAGTACACACCTTTGTTTAACCCCCATTTAGATATGGAAGAACTCAGACTGGGTGCCATTGTGCTGGACACTGCCATTAATGCCATCATGGAGTTGCTTCACAATGGTAATGAATTTTGGTGGGCAGCCAAAACTGCTGAGGGTCCACCAAAGGGCTTCCCTGTTGACCGAGTCGAAGGCCTTGGTTAGGTCAATGAAAGCCATATATAAGTCACGACGCTGTTCTCTGCACTTTTCCTGTATCTGGCGGGCAGCAAAGATCATGTCAGTGGTGCCACGTGATGGTCTAAAACCACATTGAAATTCTTGGAGGAAGTTTTCTGCCTCAGGAAGAAGTCTGTTTAGAAGGACTCGGGCGATAATCTTGCCAGCTACGTACAGCAGCGAGATCCCATGGTAGTTGCCACAGTCTGACCGGTCTCCCTTGTTCTTATAAATATTAATGATGGAGGCGTCTTTAAGAGTTTGGGGGATTTCCTCCTTTTCCCATATATTCTCCAGGAGAGAGTGGAGATGGCTGGTAAGCAGAGGTCCTCCTGATTCAAACACCTCAGCTGGGGTTCCATCAGGCCCTGAGGCTTTGTTATTTTTCATCTGTTTGATGGCAGTAGCTACCTCTTCCAGGGAAGGAGGATAGCTGAGGTGGGTCAGCTGTGGATGCTGAGGGACCTGCTGGGTAGTCAGGGCATCCACATCAGTGTTTCAGTTGAGCAGTGAATGGTAGTGCTCTTTCCAGCACTGAAGGAGGCCTTCATCGTCTTTAATTATGGAGTTACCATCAGATGAGCGGAGGGGGGCTGTACCACGAGTGACTGGCCCATAAAGTGTTTCAGTGGACTTGAAAAATTAGCGCATCTTGTGCTGATGTGCAAGTTTTTGTGCTTAAACCAGTCATTCCTTAGATTGTGAAGTTCCCGCTGGGCCGCCACTTTCTTCTTGCAGCACGTTTATCAGTGATGAGTACTTTTATTGCTGGGTCATTTTCCTTAAACCAGTCCTGTTGTATTCTTTTGTTCTGGCCAAGGGTCTCTGCAGGTTTTTGTCGTGACAGTGTCGACAATACCCCATTCAGCACTGGGGTTTGAGCTGCTCTCTGAAATTGCCACCTAATATTCCAGGACCCAGAGTCACTAACACTGTGGAGATAAAAAGTTCATAGCTGCCGGGAAATCTGAAGTCCATACAAAGTACCTTAAGAATGATTCACAAGCGGTTCATAACTAAGCTGTGGTGTTTGTAAGAACTCTGGCATTCGTTCATATAATGCCGACAGGGGGCGGTGGTATGTCTGTTTTTATTCTCCTCTCGGCCAATCACTGCAACTGATACATAACTGAATAGGAAATGTAAGCCAATCATATCACAACAACAGAAGACCACATTGGATACACTTGTCATGATTTCTTTTGACAAAATAGAAGAAAATAGACCATGGAGTATTTGTTATAATAATAATATTAATAAAAATAATAATACAGTAAACTGTATTAATAATAATATTATTATTATTATCAGTCCAGTATTATTATTTTGGAGCAACTGTCACTGTATAATTCTTGACACAGATGGTTGTCTTAAGCTAGTAACATCATCAACTACACTATGGAAACTACCACTTGTGAAAAACCCCAAAGCTATTAACACAGACGTGTGGGTTGAGAGACTTTGGACCGCCTGAGACGACCTTGCCACTCTACCAATATCTAGCCAGAGTACATCCCTACATGGAAATCTGTAGCACCACAGCAGTCGGCGGTCATCAACTTGTAGAGGGTTCAAAGGCTCCCTAAACGCCCTTACCAACTGAGTGCGTGGTCATGACCTAAAGCAATCAGTGGTAATACTGGAGGCTAATACCACAAGACATTGTTCAGTTTTGTTCATTTTTTCAACAGATGTTCTTATTATTATAGTAAGTATTTTAAAAGAGGCGACTTGTAGAAGAACCTAATAGAACCTAACCTAACCAATAAAAGAAAACTGCCTAACCTTACCTAACTGGGGGACGGACCCGCTATATTTAACAGAAACTACTTATTTTTATATCTATTACCAATGAAAGCAACTTTGGTGAAGTGTCACGGTGTAATTTTATATTTTTTGTGGACGTGAGAGTGCACTCGGACCAAGTGAGTTAGTTTTAAACAAACTGCGCAGACAAGAACATTCACCGACTTGACAGATTTTTGGAGGAGTATTTATGGTAATAATTAATGTCTTCACGTACAAAGCACGTAGAGCCATCATTTTAGTGTTATATGGTCACTATTTCACTCATCCTTCATGCCCTGACCAGTAGTAGATAGAGAAAAACTAAAATAATACTTATACAGTAATTGACATAAAAAGTTGTCACCTCTTTTAATATACTTATTATAATGATAAGATCCTATGTGGGACAACTCCTTCTGTGTTCGTCCTCTCCTTCAGTAATACTCAATCATTAGTTCCACCTTCACTAATGATATTTGTAGTACGTCTGGCAGCTCTGTGCGTTTTGGTACTGGTTGTATAGTAGAGAAAACGGGAGCTACGTGACCTTATATCCGCCTCGCAGAAGCTTACTAGACCTCTGGAGCCACCATATGTTACCAAGAAAAGTCAGCCAATTTAAATCAACTTGTGGACTATGTAAGTCTTTAGTGCATCACCACCACAGGAGATATGACCTTAAGCACTTATGAAGTTTGTAACCCATGAGTGAAAATGGACCCAAGTATGGTTAAGTGATAGTCCACCTGGTAACATCTGTGTAACTAGTTGTGGAATGTCAGGTAATCCCGCTGTAGTACACCTGCAGTTTATCTTCATGTACATACCACTCAAGAAGCACTTGAGGCTATTGGGTCAGGTATGTTTTTCACTGGAGAAGAGTAATGTTTTCATGTCTCATTTTCAGTGATGCCAATGAGTTAACAGAAATTAGACGGATCACTGGAGTTTGTCCACAGCATGATGTCGTCTTTCAAACACTGACTCCACGAGAACATCTCCGCTTCTTTGCTCGTATTAGGGTAAGACTTACTTTATATGTACAGTGTAACCTCTGTAAATTGGACTTCAATATATATGTAAGAAATGGGGAATATTAATAAAATAGAAGCTTAATAAATGAACCAGACTTACTGAATACTGTACAGAGGTCTAATGAGATTTGTTGTAGGCCTACTGAAAACTAAGACACTGTGAGCAGGCTGGGGCTGATCAGGTGTTGCCACATTCATCAGGTTTATTGATTCAGTAATATATTATCACATGATTGGCCTCTTATGGCTCATTAATATAACATCTTCAGTAATAGAGACAAAATACAATACTTTAATAAGACTTGAAAATAAAAGGATAAGCTGTATCAGAAGGTTGTTTACTGAGATGTGTTCAAGCTTTCAGTAGACCAGCTTACAACAGGGGTCACTATAACACACTGTACAGTATTTGATGTGAAGATGCCTTCTTAAAAACATAATTTACTGCCTTTGAGTGTTATATGATGACTCTGTTTGGCTACTTGTACACTTTGACAAATCTTCAGCCCCCCTCCCACCCATAAATAGTATTACAATTTTTCGGACTATTGGGGCAGACCCCAGTCTGAAAAAAACGAGTACAGTCATCCCTCGGTTAACGAACACAATTCGTTCCAGAGGGTCGTTCGTTAATCGAAAATTCCGTTAACCGAATCCATTGTTTTGATGGGATATTGGGTAATTGGTTCCAGCTCACCGAAAAGTACATACAAAGTAAAATATAAATGTAGTAAAGTACACTTACTCTGAGGTGTGTATGTAGAAGGCTCCTGGTTGATGTTGATGATGATGGGAATTAGAAGTGGGAATGGAGGAGAAGGGAGAAGAGAAGGAAGTGGGGATGGAGGAGAAATCACCTTTCAGGGGACCCATGCTTGATGCCGTCATTTCACCAATAAAATTTTAAGTTCACTATATATTGTCAATATAACCGCCAGTCAGGCAGTTAAAGGATATTCAGACTCTTTACGTTGGACACAAATATTATAATTCGGTCAAACCTGTTGAATGCATTTCATTTAGTATTTCAAATAAGTTATACATAGGCACTCCTACATAAATGTTTAATCCAATATATATTTACATAACAATCATGGCTATGTAACTAGTCTAATCTTAACACTTACAATGAGTACTCAATTTGCCATATTTCTATATTGTCACACTGATAAATGATGCAATGGACACAGTCTACCTGTGTACACAATAAGTACTAGTTAAACTTACATGTTGAAAGTCTAGAGAGAAGCCAGGGTAGGTGTTGACTCTAAGATATGGGTAGCAATACTGAAATGCCCACCCTATAGCCTGGCCTCCTGGCTGGTCAGCTATGGCTGAGTCAGGTGATTATAATTATACATAAACAAACTCCCTTCACACGCTCCAACCTCCTTCTGGGCCTCTCATCTCCACCATCTTCGTACTCTACATACTGTATACGGGCAGGCACACCCAATAAACATGACATGACTTACAGCCTAACATAATGCTTGTTTATGTGTTTGCTGCTTGCGGTAACAGTCAATATGTTAACTAAAGTTCAGAATGACCAATAATTTCAATGAAAAATGCAAAAATATTGAAGACACCAACAAAATAGATGTTCACTCCACTGTCAACAGAGCCCAACTGACGCCTTGTGGCCGATTCACGCATCTGATGGGCGCACAACAAACTAGTTCCCTGTACTGCATATATTATCAATATGATAAATAAATGTTAAAATGACGAATAATTTTAATATAAAACATGCAAAAATATTAAAGAACACAACTTTATTGATATTTACTCCACTGGAAACGAATGTAAACATAGAACAGATTACTGAATTGGCAGACTAGCCCATCAGCTGATGCGCACAACAAGACGTGATGTTCATTAGGATTTCGTTAATCAAATTTTTTTTCGTTAACCAAATTGAAGATCCTTTTGGGAGGTAATTCGTGAACTGAAATTTCGTTAATGGAACAGTTCGTTAACCGAGGGACCGCTGTATATGAGGCGGGGGACGGGGGGGAGTAATACTGATTATCTGAACTGTTTAAAGAAGATCAGTTGTTAAGTTATTACTGCACTTCAACAACTAAGGTCTTTAAGTGTACAGTTGGGTCTCACTTTACTCGGTTAATATAACCCACAGGGTACCGCGGAAAGTGAGAAACGCGTAAAGTGAACAACATAACATATGGGATTAATTGAAATAGAGACCGGGCCGACCCCCAAACTCCACTTTTTGACGACACACAACTATGTTGTAGTAAAAATATTATCTTAACTTTATGATGGTATGCACACACAATTGATAATTAAGAGAAATATCAATAATATTAGGTTTTTTAACACTTACATTAGTAGAAAAGATGGCTGGGCACACGGGGATGGGCGGTTGGTTCCGAGGCAGAGAGCAGATTATTGGCCCTCACCTGTATCACTTGTATCAATTGTATCACTATCCACCACAGAGGCTTGCAGGGCCTCTTTGTCAAACCCCTCAAAGTCCATATAAGTCCATATCCTCACTATAATTATCACTACCACTGACTTGGGCCGGCTGTGGTGGGTGGCGGGTGAAGAACTGGTAATGTTTTGATGACTGGGCGACCTTGTGCACACCATGCTCGCACCGCTTACACAACATGGCGAATGGCGGGAGGTTTGGATCCAAAAATGGCGCGGCTCGCCAGCCGCCTTCCGCGTAAAGGAGTACACGCACCGCGGAATGTGAGCATCCTGGGTTCCGGCAGGGCACCGCGTAAACGTGGAAACGCGGAATGTGGGACCGCGTAAAGTGAGGGTTAACTGTATAACAAGGTTATTAAAACAATATTACATCAACAATAACAAAATATGTAACAGAACTAACTCTCTGGGTTTAAAATCAGACATAAGTCTGGTTTTCAACAGATGATTGTTATTTACTGTAAAGTTTTACATGTAAGTAACCACAGAATTTTTCTTGTGGATAAAGAGAAAACTGTAAACTGTACAGTACTATAAAGATAAAAATAAGAACAGCAGTGTAGAGGCGAGTGCCATATAAACAATGACATCTCTGACCACACCCTGCAAAATACAACGTATTTAGCAAATGCTGCAGCTGCTGAGAATGTAGAGGGGCCTGAGGCACCTCCAAGAGCAGAGACATTACCAAGAACACATTCTGGCTTGAATGTCATGTACAGGAGATCCCCGAATTACGAATGCCCGCTGATACAAACTTTAAATTTACAGTATTTTATTTATCTAAAACTTTTTTTTACTTTCATTTACTGTATTTTGTCATTCTATTTCTTCTTTTGTCTTAAATTAAGTGAGTTTAGATGTATATAAGGACTTAGGCAATGATATAGTGGGATTTTTCTTTAAGTACAGTATGCACATGGCATGTGTTCCAACTTAGGTACAAGCCTGAGTTATGAACGTCTTCAGGAAGGAAACCTGTTCGTAACCCGGGGGCTCCCTGTACTATAATACTGACATGTTCCTGATAGAGAGAGGAGTTTGAAACACTACTGAAGGTACACCAACCAGATATTGTGGGTGTTGTAGAACTGTAGTACAAGAATAGAAGAATCGACCCAGAGGAATGTGAATTCAGTATTGCTGGATATGACTCATTTACGAACCTTTCTCAAGAAACTTGCAAGAGGGGTGTGGTTATCTATGCTAGGCAAGACCTTAGAGCCAGTCAGGCGAGGGTACAGGGAGAGGATGTTTTCGAAGAGTCCAAGTGGTGTAAAATTAAATTAAAGGGAGGGGACTTACTTATCGTCGGGTGTATCTACAGAGCCCCAAACTGTGGCCCACTAAATCATAGGAACTTAAGAGCCTTAATAGACAATCCGGTGATACTCAACCCTAGCCACCTCCTTATCATGGGAACTTTAACTATGGCGACATCGACTGGAGAAACGAGTTCATCCCAAAGGACTTGAATAACCCTGGTACTCTTTTTGTTAGAGACCCGACACATTACAGAGTGGAGCAAACACCCAAGCCACTAGACCTCATCATAACAAACGAGGAGGGTATGGTGGCTAAACTGGAACACCTTGCCCCAGTTGGCACCAGTCACCATACAGTGTTGTCATTCAGATTTATCTGTTATCTAGTTCAGGATAAGGCCAGGCCAAGGTGCAAATATTACAATAGAAATTACAATGAGATGAGGGAAGAGATGAGGGGTATTCACCGGCCTGACTCATTTAGGCACAAGAATGCAGACACTACGCTGAATATCATAACTAGCAAAGTGAACCATTTGATCGATAAATATATACCCAAGACCAAACCCAGTGCCTTTAGGAATACGAGGGGATCCCTATACATGAGCCATGCGGCGGTTGACTAAGTTAAGAAGAAAACCCAGAAATTCAAGTCATGGGTTGGGTCAAATGATGAGTAGGACAGGAGGATGTATGCAAGAGCCACAAACCAAGCAAAGGCAGAGTGTAAAAAGGCTGAAAAGGAGTTCCAGAGGCTCGTTGCAAGCAAGGTCAAGTGTAACCCAAAGGCGTTTTACCGCCATGCAAAGTCAAAATTAAAAACACGAGTAGGAGTATCACACCTTAGGCTTGAAGATGATAGTTACGAAGATTCTGATCAGGACAAAGTGGAGGCATTAAACAGCTTCTTTTCCTCGGTGTTCACAAGAGAGGATGCAACTAACCTTCCTGCGTTTGAGGACAGACGGTTCGACACAGCACTGACCCACATTGTGTTCACAGAAGAGGGTATAAGAAATAAACTGTCAAAACTAAAGGTTCATAAGAGTCCCGACCCTGACATGGTGCATCCTAGAGTGCTAAGGGAGTTGAGCAACGAACTTGTAGAGCCCCTGAAGATCCTGTTCTGTAAATGCCTGGATGAACAAAAGGTCCCCAGTGATTGGAAGATGGCTTATGTGAATCCTATTTTCAAGAAGGGCGATCGTCACTCCACGAACAACTATAGACCAGTGAGCCTGACCAGCATAGTGTGTAAAGTACTTGAGATCATTATGAGAGATGCCATGATGCAACATCTACTACGAAGGAACCTTGTAAAGGATTGCCAGGACTCTCCTGCCTAACACAATTACTCAAGGTACTGGATGTTTGGACCCAAATTCTGGAACAAGATGGTAATATTGACAATATTTACCTGGATTTTGCCAAGGCTTTCGACAGTGTACCCCATGAAAGGCCGAAAATCAAACTGGAAGGGTACGGAATTCTGTCCTAGCGTGGATAGAAGACTTTCTACATGACCGCAAGCAGTGTGTGGTGATTAATGGCACGAAATCATCATCTGTACCTGTCACAAGCGGAGTACCACAGGGCAGTGCATTGGGCCCGCTGTTGTTTGTTTGTTTGTTTCATAAATAACATGCCTGACGCAGTACATTCCTTCATACAAATGTTTGCGGATGATGCCAACTTGTTCCGGGAAATTAAGAACAAGCGGACTGTGAAGACCTGCAGAAACATCTCTTTGAGCTTCAAGAATGGTCAAAGAAATTGCTGCTGAGATTCACTGTCATGAAGTGTAAGAGGCTGAACTTGGGATGTACCAATGACAAGGAGGTGTATCATATGTCCCAACGGGACAAAGAAACTGCATTAATTGAGAATGAATGTGAGAATGACCTGTATGTGTATGTTGACAATGAACTGAAGTTCTCGGGCCAATGCGAGAAGAAGGTAAATCAGGCAAATAAATTATTAGGTCTTATAAGAAGGTCGTTCAGATATCTACATGGTCCGTCCCTCATTTCGATCTTCAAGAGTGAAGTGCTTCCCCATCTGCAGTACTGTCACCCTGTCTGGTCCCCGAGATTATGCTAGGGACTGTCCAAAGGAGGGCCACCAGACTGGTGCCAGCACTTCAGCACCTCAGCTGCCCTGAGAGATTAGAGCGCCTGCAATTGCCTAGCTTATAGTATAGACTGGCAATGGGTGACCTAACTGAGGTGTATAAACATCAAGTGTCCTTACCTGCACCTGGCAGATGCTCGCCCCACAAGGGGTCACAGGTCAAGGTTGAAGAATCCACGAGTCCAGAAGACTGTGAGGGGTAACTCTTTTGGAGTGAGAGTTGTGAATTCATGGAACAATCTGCCAGAACTTTGTGACGGCACCGTGTGTGCGCATTCACAAGATCAAACATGACCAACATTGGAGCAGGTACTTGCCAACAGTGAGTAACAGAGGCATGACCGACTGCCCAAGCGGCTAACGAGCCGATCAGTGGTGAAGAGGATAAAAGTAAAAACAGAGCAATAACACACACACTACAGAACACAGGCAGTGAACAAATACAGTACTGTAGAACAACAACACACTACAAGGCACCAATGCCTCACCACCATCTTTCATAACTAAGTGTTTTACCAAAATTCATATTCCATTTACTGTATATTGTAAATGTATACTGTACCAAAATATTGTAAATGTATACTGTACCATAATATTGTAAATGTATACTGTACCATAATAGTATTGTAAATGTATACTGTACCATAATATTGTAAATGTATTTTTTTTTTTACGGAGAATAGCCCACCCGGGCACAAATCAACGACCCACAATGGGGCCGAGGGGGGTGAAATAAGAGTAAAAAGGAATTAAAAATAGAAAATAAAAAGGTTACATTAATCTATACAACGAAACCAGCTTTTTAAAATGAGACAGATTGTATGAGTATGGAAACACAGAAGAAGGCAGAGCATTCCACAGTTTGGCTGGACTATAATGGGTTATTCTAGTGTGACCGACAGCCACAGAGAAACAGTTGGCACCGCGGGAAAGACGTGTTTTACGAGCCCATGGCCTTGCCGGCGGTACACAGGATGCCAAATCCACTGAACATTGCCCGTTAAAGTACCTGTAAAAGAGAGAGTGAAGTAATATTGTGGTGAAGAGAAAGGAAGAAAGATTATCAACTAAAGGAGGAGAGATAATAGGACGAAATGCCTTTGATTCCACCCTATCTAACAGTTGGACAGAAGAAGAGCCACCCCAGATATGAGAGCAGTACTCCAAGTTAGGACGAATGAATCCCTTATAAACTTGAATCAACTGCTCAGGAGTGAAGTAGCTACGGCATCTGTACGGCATTCCCAGCTTTCAGGAGGCAGCTTTAGCAATGTTGAGAATGTGTGGCTTCCATGACATATTAGAGGAAGAGGCCTGGCAAAATGCTTGTGTGCTGAAATGTGATTGGTGGGAGATCTACTATTTTGGAAAGTGTAATTGGTAAATACTGTGTTTAGTTACTATTGTATTTAACCAAGTTTCTACCTCCCCATTCGGTGATGCTGCACAGATCCGCATTGATAGATGTAATGATATCAGCTCTAGAAACAGATCTAGTTTGAGAATTAGAGGGAAGGGGGAAATGTGAAAAAGAGTGAAGAGTAGAATCATCAGAGTAAGAATGGATAGAATTAGTCGTAGTGTGAAGTAAATTATTAATAAAAAGAAGGACGAGAGTAGGTGAAAGAACAGAACCCTGTGGGACACCACTATTGGTAGAGAAAGAGCGAGAGATCGATCCCTTGACAACAACTGCCATGGATCGGTTCTCAAGGAAGCTGGAGATGAGAAAACAAAGTGGGGGAGAGAAACCAAAAGAAGGAAGTTTAGAAAGCAAAGACGACCTTTTCCCCGTAATCCCTAAGAGAGGATGACCAAAGATGGGTGCAATAGGAGAGCAGATCACCAGTAGATCTCGCCTGGTGAAAGCCATACTGGTGATCCGACAAAAGATAAAAGTGTTTAAGGTGACGGAGAAAATGGGGGTTTAAGATAGTTTAAAAAATCTTAGAGAGGGATGAAGTTAGGGCAATGGGGCGATAGTTAGAGGGATGGGAATGGTCACCCTTTTGCGGGATGGGCTGAGCCGAGGCATGCTTCCAAGAAGAAGGAAAAGTTTGGGTTTTGAGGCAAAGGCGTAAGAGGCGAGCAAGTACAGGGGCCAGAGCTTCAGCACACTCCCTCAGAACACAGGGGGTATTCCGTCCGGTCCATGCGCCTTACTCACATCCAACCTGGATAACATACTTGCAACCCTACGAGTGGAGATTATAGGAAAGTGCATAGGTTCAGTAGGAGGAGCAGGGGTAGGAGGGATAGAGTGGGAATTTTCTAAGGTGGAATTAGAGGAGAATAAGGTGCCAAAGATTTTGGCTTTGTCAGGGGGAGAGTTGGCTATAGAGTTATTAGGTCGGAAGAGAGGAGGAAAAGAAAGAGTGCAGAAGTTATTACAAATGTTTTTAGTTAAGGACCAGAAGGATTTACTAGAGGAAGAGTTAGTGAGGACTGCGGTTTTTCTTTTTATAAATTCCGCTTGGCCCTACGAAGAATAGCCTTACAACTATTCCTAGAAGTAATGAAAGAGTTGTGGGTAATAGGAGAAGGAGATAGTTTCATAGCTCGATATGCCCTATCTCTCACCCTGCAAGCAAGAGAGCAGGAGCGATCAAACCATGATTGTAAAGTGAAAGTTTTGGTAGAAGATGGGATAAATGCACTCATACCGCCCTGTATAACCCCAGCAATGCTGTCAGCACATACCGAGGCGTTCCGAGTGGAAAAGCAACATTCATCCCGAGGAAAGTCGGTGAAAAATTCTTGCAAGGATTGCCAGTTTGCCCTCCGATAGTGTCATAGTTGACGTTTAGAGGGGGGTGGGGGAGGTGGTCATGCCCAGTTTGATTTAATAAAAATAAGGTTGTGATCAGAAGACCCTAAGGGGGCAGAAATTGAGTATTAATACTGTACCATAATATTGTAAATGTATACTGTACCATAATATTGTAAATGGACACTGTACCATAATACGTATTGTAAATGTATACTGTACCATGATATTGTAAATGGATAATGTACCATAATATTGTAAATAGACACTGTACCATAATATTGTAAATGTATACTCTACCATGATATTGTAAATGGATACTTTACCATAATATTGTAAATTTATACTGTACCATAATATTGTAAATGGATACTTTACCATAATATTGTAAATTTATACTGTACCATAATATTGTAAATATACACTGTACCATAATATCAGTTTAGTAATTGCAGATTGTTTTTCAACTTCAGGGAATTCAGTCGGAACAGTTAGATGCAGAAGTAGAACAAACACTGAAGGATGTGGGCCTCGACAGTAAGGGAGACACCGTGGCTGCAGACCTGTCAGGTACAGTACATTATAACAGGTACCATATCTGTATCTGCTAACTTTTCTCCACTCATATTCTGGAGTGGGATATACGGGCATCACCCGGGTTATGGAAGAGTTCCGTTCACTAAAATCTTTCTGCGTCGCGAAATTCCGTATTGTGAAACCATTTTTCCCGTCGACTCCCATTATATAAATATAGATGCATTCCCAAGGCAAAAATTTTGCCCTAAAATTTAACACAAGTTTATATATGAATGAAAATAAACAGTTTTAACCACATACAATGAGTCATCCATGATGTAACATGATAAAAAATGAGCAAAACTCTTGAATTTAACTCAGCAGAAACATTGTTGAGTGGTGTAGTAGGTGGTGAGGTAAGGTGAGGTGTGTTGAGTGGTGCAGTAGGTGGTGAGGTAAGGTGAGGTGTGTTGAGTGGTGCAGTAGGTGGTGAGGTAAGGTGGTGTGTGTTGAGTGGTGCAGTAGGTGGTGAGGTAAGGTGGTGTGTGTTGAGTGGTGCAGTAGGTGGTGAGGTAAGGTGGTGTGTGTTGAGTGGTGCTTTTACTTTTTATCCTCTTCGCCACTGATCGGCTTGTTAGCCGCTTGGGCGATCGGTCACGACTCTTTTCCTTTATATTCTTCACCAAAAGGTCGGCTCGCTAGCCGCCCGGGCGATCGGTCACGTCTCTGTCACGCACTGTTGGCAAATACTGGGCATGCACCGGCTCCTGAATGTACCTGAACCCGCTCCAGTGTTGGTCAAGTCTTCTCTTGAAAGAGCTCACACTCGGTGCCGTCACAACACTTTCTGGTAGATTGTTCCAAGAGTTTACAACCCTCACTCCGAAAAAGTTTGCCCTCACGGTTTTCCGGACTTGCGGCTTCTTCAATCTTGAGCTGTGACCCCTTGTGGGGCGAGCGTCCGCCAGCTCCAAGTAAGGACACTCAACTGAGTAGTGCCCCCTGAGATGCTTATAAACCTCAACTAGGTCCCCCCTTGCCCGTCTGTAGTATAAGCTAGGCAAGTTCAGGCGCTCCAATCTCGCAGGGTAGCTGAGATGCCGAAGTGCAGGCACCAGCTTGGTGGCCCTCCTTTGAACATTTTCAACCAACTGACAGTCCCTAGCATATCTCGGGGACCAGATGGGGTGACAGTACTCCAGATGGGGAAGCACTTCACTCCTGAAGATCGTCACGAGGGACGGACCGTCTAGATATCTGAACGACCTTCTTATAAGACCCAATAATTTATTTGCCTGATTTACCTTCTTCTCACAATGGCCCGAGAACTTCAGCTCATTGTCAACATACACACCTAGGTCCTTCTCACACACAGTCTCAACTAGTACATTTTCTTCATCCCGTTGGGACATATGGTACGCCTCCTTACCGTTGGTACGCCCCAGGTGCATCCTCTTACACTTCGTGACATTGAATCTCAGCAGCCATTCCTTCGACCATTCCTGGAGCCCACAGAGGTCCTTCTGCAGCTCTTCACAGTCCGCTTGGTTCTTAATTTCCCGAAATAACTTGGCGTCATCGGCAAACATTTGTATGGAGGAGTGTACAACGTCAGGCATATCATTTATGAAACAAACAAACAACAGCGGGCCCAATACACTACCCTGCGGTACCCCACTTGTTACAGGTACAGATGACGATTTCGTGCCATTAATCACCACACATTGCTTGCGGTCATGTAGAAAGTCTTCTATCCACGCTAGGACATTTCCCCGAATTCCGTACCCTTCCAGTTTGATTTTCAGCCTTTCGTGGGGTACACTGTCGAAAGCCTTGGCAAAATCTAGGTAAATATTGTCGATATTACCACCCCGTTCTAGAATATGGGTCCAAATATCCAATACCTTGAGCAATTGTGTCAAGCAAGAGCGCCCCGGCATAAAACCGTGTTGGCAATCTTTTACAAGGTTGTTTCGTAGTAGATGTTCCATCTGCATCTCTGATAATACTCTCAAGTACTTTACATATTATGCTGGTCAGGCTCACCGGTCTATAGTTGTTCGTGGAGTGCCTATCGCCCTTCTTGAAGATAGGACTCACATAAGCCACTTTCCATTCACTGGGGACCATTTGTTCATCCAGGCATTTACAAAACAGAATCTTCAGGGGCTCTGCAAGCTCGTTGCACAGCTCCCTTAGCACTCTAGGATGCACCATGTCAGGTCCAGGACTCTTATGGACCTTTAGCCTGGACAGTTTATTTCTAATACCCTCTTCTGTGAACACAATGTGGGTCAGTGCTGTGTCGAACCGTCTGTCCTCAAACGCAGGAAGGTTAGTTGCATCCTCTCTTGTGAACACTGAGGAAAAGAAGCTGTTCAATGCCTCAGCTTTATCCTGGTCAGAATCTGCGTAACTACCATCTTCAAGCCTCAGGTCTGATACTCCTACTCGCGTTTTCAATTTCGACTTTGCATAGCGGTAAAACGCCTTTGGGTTTGACTTGACCTCGCGTGCAACCAGCCTTTGGAACTCCTTTTCAGCCCTCCTACACTCTATCTTTGCTTGGTTTCTGGCTCTTGCATACATCCTCCTGTCTTGCTCATCGTTTGACCCAACCCACGTCTTGAATTTCTGGGTTTTCTTCTTAATTTTGTCGACCGCCGCATGGTTCATGTGTAGGGATCCCCTCGTATTCCTAGAAGCACTGGGTTTGGTCTTGGGTATATATTTATCGATCAAATGGGTCATTTTACTAGTTATGATATTCAGCGTAGTGTCTGCGTTCTTGTACCTTAATAAGTCAGGCCAGTTGATACCCCTCATCTCTTCCCTCATCCCATTGTAATTTCCCTTGTAATATTTGCACCTTGGCCTGGCCTTATCTTGAACTAGGTAACAGTTAAATCTGAATGACAACACTGTATGGTGACTGGTGCCAACTGGGGCAAGGTGTTCCAGTTTGGCCACCATACCCTCCTCGTTTGTTATGATGAGGTCAAGTGGCTTGGGTGTTTGTTCCCCTCTGTAATGTGTCGGGTCTCTCACATGTTGGAACAGAAAATTATCTCTCAGAGTTTCTACAAAAAGAGTAGCAGGATTATTCAAGTCATTCGGGGTTGACTCGTTTCTCCAGTCGATGTCGCCATAGTTAAAGTCCCCCATGATAAGGAGGTGGCTGGGGTTGAGCATCGCCGCATTGTTTATTAAGGTTCTTAAGTTCCTTTGATTTAGTGGGCCACAGTTCGGGGATCTGTAGATACACCCGACGATAAGTAAGTCCCCTCCCTTTAATTTAATTTTACACCACTTGGACTCTTCAAAGACATCCTCTCCCTGTACCCTCGCCTGGCTGGCTCTAAGGTCTTGCCTAGCGTAGATAACCACACCCCTCCTGCAGGATTCTTGAGTTAGGTTCGTAAATGAGTCATATCCAGCAATACTGAACTCACATTCCTCTGGGTCGATTCTCCTGTTCTTGTACAACAGTTCTACAACTCCTACAATATCTGGTTGGTGTACTCTTAGTAGTGTTTCAAACTCCTCCCTCTTATCAAGGAACGTGTCGGTATTAGTGTACATGACATTCAAGCCAGAATTTGTTCTCGGTAACGTCTCTGCTCTTAGTAATAAACCCGCTCCACCCACATTCTCAGAAGCTGCAGCATTTGCTAAGTACACTGTATTTTGCAGGGTGTGGTTAAAAATTTCATTGTTTACACGGCGCTCGTTCCCTCCTGTCCGGTAGGCTGAGCTGGTGCCGCCTCCCGGGTGGGGGGTTGAGTGGGTGGAGGGTGCACTGCTGCCCCCTGGCCCTGTGTCGGCACACTTGTTTCCACTACCCTCCCCCTGAGTATAACCCATGTGCACCTGTCCCCGTTCCTTCTCGACTCCTCCCTCTTCTGCTTCAAGTCCAGCAGGAGCTTCTTGTGCTGTTCCCTCTGCATTACCGTGCGGTCTGGGTGAATAAATACATCTCGAAATGCCTCGCTCCTTGCTAAGTTTTTTGCCTGCCGGATAACTTGCCATTTTTCCTCCTCACTCCCTAGTGTGATCCTGAGGGGGCGAGGCTTAACCCCCTGCTTTTGTCCCAGTCTCCTCACATCCTGAGGGGTTGCTGGAATCTTCAGAACCTCTGTGCAAATATTTTGAAACAGTAGGTGGTGAGGTAAGGTGAGGTGTGTTGAGTGGTGCAGTAGGTGGTGAGGTAAGGTGAGGTGGTCAGAGCTACTGGTAATTACCTCCTTAAACCATCTTGTTTATAGTCCATCATTATTCCTTTATGGAAGGAATCTTATAAATTATCACCACTGTTTTCACACACACACACACACACACACACACATAACTGAATTTATTTTGTAAATTTATTTTATTGTCTTGTGATTTTCTCTTTTGAAAATCTTAATAAATAAACCTTAATTTCATAAGGGCAAATACAGTACAGTCCAGAACACAGACACATAACTGAACACTAACTGGAAAAAGAATTCTAAGTGAGCATCTTGGTGGGTGAGCCGCCCTCCAACCTTCCTGTAGCTACCACCCAGAATCCACACCAAATAAATTTTATAATTTCGGTGAATTTCATTGTTATGTCTCACGATTTTTATGTTTGAAATTTAAAAAAAAATTACAATTCCCTAAGGGCAAGTTTTTTATCAGTAACACAAATTTTTTGGTCTTAATTTCAAAATTCCGTAAAGGCAAATTTCCATAGCCCGGGATTCCGTATCGTGGGGGTTGCCTATAGGCTACTGTAAAACATTCTGAAGGGTAGGGAAGACTAATACTGTACAAGGAAAGTGTAGAAAATGACAGAGAAAGCCTGAAATAGCAAGATAGAGCACTTCACCCCTTCTTCATATTCTGGACAACTTTGTGCAGTAGGTTTTTGGGACTTAGTGTAGATGTCGGCTCACAAGTTAGACTCATTTGGTTGATTCATCTGTAGTGACAATACTGTGACACTCTTGCTGTCAATCAATTTTAATTAATAGGTCAGGGAATAATTGTAAATAGGGTGTCTCTTTACTTTAGGTGGTCAGAGAAGAAAGCTGTCCATTGGTATTGCTTTAATTGGTGACCCGAGGATAATCTTCCTGGATGAACCGACAGCTGGAGTGGATGCCTACTCCAGGAGGCTACTTTGGTCACTTCTGAAGAAAAAGAAAGAAGGGAAGGCAAGTGTAGTGTTCATGGCTACTGTATAGTGCGTTTTTCCCAGCTGAGAAGAGATGCCCCGCCCCCTACTCAAGAGTTACAACTGATTGGCTGTTGTAAATCTGTCCAATTCCCTCCTGAAGTAATGATGTACAGTATTTCTAAATGAGTTTACGTATTTATAATCGTTGGGATGACCATTTCTGACGAGAAAGATATTTAGCTAAATTATATAGATACATACATTCATTATTTCAAACCTGAGCACGTAGGAAGTTTATCAGAAATATGACTGCGAACAACTTCATATTTCCCGCCTCTGCTGACGGCTGAGCGGCCAAGCTCCCCGGTCTCTCACTCATCCACCAACTTTCCGAGGCTGTGTAATATTTCAATGTGATTCTGATCTTTTAAAATTTCAGTTTTTGCATAATGTGCTTTTACTGATACTTAATTTGTCTTAGTTTGCCTTATTGTGGGTGTATAATATGTACACGAAGTAGTACCTGAAGCTGTGTATTCTTATATTACTCTATTAATTATGTATAGTACAGTATTACAGAACATGTATTAATCCTATGTAATATTTCCATTTATTATGCACCATGTTATGTATATGAATTATCATATTTACATATTATGTATTCAGCTTGTGAATGCTGGCATCTGTACATGCCAGGGCGGAGTGATACAGAGAGTTGAGATCACCAGTCCTTATGGTGTGGAAGCTCTCTGTCTATTGTTCCTCTGTATATCTCCCGTACGAGAATAAGAACCTATTTTCAAGATAACAAGTTTTTGTGTGTACCCTCAGTAGTGTAGAACATTTTGGGGGTATCAAAGACAAACATAGAGTGGGTAAAAATAAGCATACCCCTATATATTAAATGCTTTCTCTGAAAATGTCAATTTGCTGCCAGAGTTTAACAGTTAATTCATGTACAGTATAAGATTTCTGATAAACTTCCTATGTGCTCCTGTTTGAAATAATTAATGTGTGTATCTTTATATGACTTAGCTAAATATCTTTCTCGTCAGAAACGGTCATCCCAACGATTATGAATAAACTCATTTAGAAATATATCATTACTTCAGGACGAAATTTTACAGATTTGTAACAGCCAATCAGCTGTAAGTCTTGAGTAGGGGGCGGGGCATCTTTTCTCAAACTTGGAAAACGCACTATAGAACGCACAGGTGTTGAAGATATCTACACAATAACACATCCTAGAAATACAGTACAGTACTAACACTCATTTACATCTTTTTTTTTTTTACTTTATACGACATAATACTTTTCTTAAGTTAATATAAAGTGATGCTATAAGATATCTCTGATAAATATATAAATATTTGTTCTCTGTACAACTGTTCCTCTACAGTGTTTACCAAGTGGAAGAGTTCCTGATAAACCTTTTGGGTAATGACATACAGTATCATGACTCAAGAAGGTTCACCTCAGTGATACAGAAGGAGAGATCAGGGATATATTCTGGGCAGCTTTTCTCCTTACCTTAAAGCACATACTGTACATTGAAAGATCATTCAGTACTGTACTTATAAAAATATGAAGTTCTGTACACAGTCAATGATATAGTTACTCAATAATTCAGTTTAAAGCAAAAAGTAAGGCACTGGAAGGTGGAGTAGTTTGTATCCCAGCACCCTAGTGTAGTACGTCCACAGATATGTACTCTACTCACTATAATGGTACCGTAAGATACACACAGATGCGTACGGTACACTTGTTGCTCAATTATGTCTCAGAGAATCAAATCCACCAATTCTCTTCATTCAACAGGTTATCCTGCTCACAACTCATTTTATGGATGAAGCGGATATTTTGGCCGATCGGAAAGCAATTATGTCACACGGCAGACTTCAGTGTTGTGGGTCGTCTCTCTTCCTGAAAAACAAGTTTGGAGTTGGATATCATCTCACGTGAGTCTCTCTCTCTCTCTCTCTCTCTCTCTCTTCTTCACCATTATGGCGTCTCTCTCTCTCTCCCTTCTTCACCATCATCATGTGTCTCTCTCTCTCTCCCTTCTTCACCATCATCGTGTCTCTCTCTCTTCTTCACCATCATCATGTGTCTCTCTCTCTCTCCCTTCTTCACCATCATCGTGTCTCTCTCTCTTCTTCACCATCATCATGTGTCTCTCTCTCTCTCCCTTCTTCACCATCATCGTGTCTCTCTCTCTCTCTCTTCTTCACCATCATCTCTCTCTTCTTCACCATCATCGTGTCTCTCTCTCTCTCTTCTTCACCATCATCTTGTCTCTCTCTCTCTCTCTCTTCTTCACCATCATCGTGTCTCTCTCTCTCTCTCTTCTTCACCATCGTCTCTCTCTCTCTCCCTTCTTCACCATCATCGTGTCTCTCTCTCTCTCTCTCTTCTTCACCATCATCGTGTCTCTCTCTCTCTCTCTCTTCTTCACCATCATCGTGTCTCTCTCTCTCTCCCTTCTTCACCATCATCGTGTCTCTCTCTCTCTCTCTCTTCTTCACCATCATCGTGTCTCTCTCTCTCTCTTCTTCACCATCATCGTGTCTCTCTCTCTCTCTCTCTTCTTCACCATCATCGTGTCTCTCTCTCTCACCATCATCTGTCACCATCATCGGTAGTGTCTCTCTCTCTCTCTCTTCACCATCATCGTGTCTCTCTCTCTCTTCTTCACCATCATTGTGTCTCTCTCTCTCTCTCTCCTTCACCATCATCGTTGTGCGTTATTTATGGGGAGAAACTTTGTCTCCACTGCATCTGATATAATATTGCTCAATAGTGACGCAAAGGGAATATGCATTTCTTTGCACATGACCTAGCTGGGGAGGGGAAGATGGTCCCAGAGTGTAGGGTTGGGGGAGCATTGCTGGGGAATTGGCGTGCCAGCGGGTCTTCGTTGCTATGGTGAACCAGGGAGTGTATGCAAATGGTGACGGTGTTAAACTTTCATTTTATTTACTGGTTTGGCAATACTGTATTTTTTTGTTGGTATTATTATTACATATTCCTCACATTTACTGTTACTATATTTATATTATTTTAAGAAAACTGTGGCTACAGGAGGTAAATACACACAGAAGTTTTTATCCAAATATTGACTGGTAAGATAGGAGGTGCGTCTTATGTGCAGTATTATGGACTACTTTACTGCAGTTTTATACATTCATGGACATTCACATTATTATTGAATAATGAAACAATAACCACGGCCCCTAGGGAAGTGTTTGGTGTCCATAAGGGTGATGAGAAGGTTAAGCCTAAGACCTTATCAGTGAACTGAATGTAAGTGTACAGTATTTTATGTACATTACTTTTTTAAATAAATTTGATTAACAAAAATGTATTTCTTTCATAAAAATTGGATACATTGGTGGTGTACTCAGTTTTTGTTTAGAATGGCCGTCTTTTGGGAAAAATTTGTTCTAAGGTGGACAGCCTCTTATCCCAGACACCTCTTGCCCCCAGTTAGTCCACCTTAGTGAGGTTTTACTGTAGTACTGTACAGTCTATAATATTGAATAAGAAACAATAACTTTTTTTATAGTCCCGTCCTTCCACATATTATAAGGGTGATGAGAAGGTTAAGCCTAAGACCTTATCAGTGAACTGAATGTAAGTGTACAGTATTTTATGTACATTACTTTTTTAAATAAATTTGATTAACAAAAATGTATTTCTTTCATAAAAATTGGATACATTGGTGGTGTACTCAGTTTTTGTTTAGAATGGCCGTCTTTTGGGAAAAATTTGTTCTAAGGTGGACAGCCTCTTATCCCAGACACCTCTTGCCCCCAGTTAGTCCACCTTAGTGAGGTTTTACTGTAGTACTGTACAGTCTATAATATTGTAAGAAACATTGGCTTTTTTTATAGTCATACCGTCCTTCCACATATTATTTTAAGTAAGACAGTTTCATTACACTGCATTTTATGATATTATATTTTCATTGTTAATTTGGGCAAATGTTAGTTTAGGTAGGAAATATTAGTGCTGTAATTTTTACAATTTGCCCTGCAAGGGGGCTAGTTTATCGGGCACCCCACAGCTAGGGGAGCCAGCTGGCGGGACACCTCCCCCTGCGACAGAAAGATCCCGTCCTGGCTTTCGGCCAAGAGCACCTCCCTCATATGAAGTGCCCGCCACCAGTGCTGGTCCACCATATAGTGCTGTCTGGCCACGGGGATGTCGTGGCAAGTTGGGCGGGTGACTTGTTCACCCCCCGCAGAGGTGTGTTCAGGTAATGGAGGAGGGCCTGGGATGTCCTATTGCAGTCCAGGCTACCCCCGGGCCCAGTGTTATCCCTGAGGAGCCTCTTGGCGGCCTTGACCCCAGCCTCTGCCCTGCCATTGGACTGGGGGAAGTGGGCCGACGAGAGCCGCACCTCGACCCCCCATGACTTGAGGAAATCCGTATCTCAAGGCTGGCAAGGTTGGTACCTCCATCCGTGGAGATCTGCTCAGGTGCCCCCCACCTCGTGAAGTAACCCCGCAGACTGGCGATGATCTTGCCAGCAGGTGGCCTCGTTGGGGGAAGTGGGTGATCTCCAGCCAACCTGTGAGTCAGTCAGCATATGGTAGGTACGTGTGGCCCTGTAGGTGGAACGAGTCGGCCACCACCCGTTGAAAGGGATATTCTGGCACTGGGGTCAAGACCAACGACTCCGGAGGCTGGGAAGGGGCGTGGGTCTCGCAAGCATCACACCGGGACCGATGATACTGCAGGTCACCCTCCATGCCAGGCCAATAGACAGACTGCCGGGCCCGCCCGAGCGTGGGGTCGAGGCCCTGGTGCACCACATGCAGGTTAACGGCGACCCGGTGGCGGAGGGAGTCGGAGATGACAAGGCGCACGCAGCCCTGGTCAAAGGTGTAGGTGACCAAACCCCCGACCACAGCCAACCTGTCCCTCACCGAGAAGTACGGGCACAGACAGGCCACCTCCTGTGACTTATGGGGGCGCCAGTCGCCCGCCAGCACCCTCGACACTAGAATCTGGTACACTGGGTCGTCCGCAGCCGCTTTGCACGCTGTGTCTTCGTCCATAGTGATGCACCCATCCTGATCCAGTGCTGTGATTGTGACTGCACACACTGCAGTGCACAGGTCCTCCTCTTGGTCCATGTCCTCCGCGTCGGGCGCCGCCCTGAGGGAGGGGAAGCTGGATAGGGCGTCAGCGGCACAGTTCCGCTTCCCTGGGAAGTACTTGACCGTGAAACGGAACTGCAGGCGTGGATCCGCCACATCCGCGAGGGCTCTGTCCCCTAGCAAGCCAACTAAGGGGCGGTGGTCCGTCACCAGAATGAGGTTGGGACAGCCAAGGAGGAACATGAATCGGCTGCTTGTCCAATTAACCAGTCCGTTCACATATATTTATATTTGGGTTTTAAGTAACGAAACCCAAACGGTAGTTCCTTTGTTTTATTATAAAAGGTTGTATATATAATTCCTGAGTGTTGATCAACCGTAAGTCCCACTGTCTAGGAGTGAATGAGAAGGGGACGGCGTTTATGTATAATAAACGTTAGGTCACGTCCTTACGATATGAGTTGAGGTGAGCTACTGAAGCTTAAGGGCATCGCAGTGCGTGCTTACAGAAATGCTGAGCTATGGGTCTCGCCCTCTTGGGTGAGTTGCCCGCTCACGTGTCCAACTCATGTCTTACTCATAGACAGTGGAAAGTTACAGGGGTGAATCTGAATATAATCTCAGATGTATTGACCCTTTTATATAATATGTTCTGTTGATGAGACAGGGGCCCATTACAAACAGCCTGGCCTTGCGCAGGCACCATATCACCGCCAGGGCCTCCCCTTCTACTGCGGTGTAGCCGGCCTTGGCCGTGCTCAGATGTCGGCTACCGCACAGAGCCAACCGCCACCCTCCCCTGCAGCAGAAGGGCGTCTCTGGAGAGGCACAGGCACAGTATTGTTGCAGGACGACCAAGCCGATGCCCTCCCTGCTCCAATCAGTGACAGCTGCCGTAGGCCTGGATTTGTCGTAGTACACCAAGCCGTCCCTGGCCAACTGACAGATGGTGTCCCGGGCCTGGCGAAACTTGAGCTGCAGCTGGTCGTCCCAATACACCTGCTTGCCCACTGGCTTCTTGAGGAGCTCACGGAAGGGCTCCATCACAGGTGCAGTGGCAAGGAAGGGAGCCAACTGGTTAACCAGGCCATGCCAGGACCTGATGTCAGTTATTGATGGCTGATCAGGCATGGGGAAGTCCTTGATGGCTGACACGTTGGGCTGGTAGAGGTCCCACCCCAGGTGGACCACAAACTGGGCTTCTCTCCTGCAGAACAACAACTTTTATGGTTTCAGTGTGATACCTGTGTGAGCGCAGATCACCAGAAAATCGTAGGTGTGCCAGAACGCTTCCTTCACACTGGAGTCATAGAGGAAAGTGTCATCCACGCACTTGTACTTGCCATCATTATATACTGTCACATACAGTAAGTGGCCATCATTATATACTGTCTCATACAGTAAGTGGCCATCATTATATACTGTGTCTCATACAGTAAGTGGCCATCATTATATACTGTCTCATACAGTAAGTGGCCATCATTATATACTGTGTCTCATACAGTAAGTGGCCATCATTATATACTGTCTCACATACAGTAAGTGGCCATCATTATATACTGTCTCACATACAGTAAGTGGCCATCATTATATACTGTCTCACATACAGTAAGTGGCCATCATTATATACTGTCTCACATACAGTAAGTGGCCATCATTATATACTGTCTCACATACAGTAAGTGGCCATCATTATATACTGTCTCACATACAGTAGTGGCCATCATTATACTGTCTCACATACAGTAAGTGGCCATCATTATATACTGTCTCACATACAGTAAGTGGCCATCATTATATACTGTCTCACATACAGTAAGTGGCCATCATTATAAACTGTCTCACATACTGTACATGGCCATCATTATATACTGTCACATACAGTAAGTGGCCATCATTATATACTGTCTCACATACAGTAAGTGGCCATCATTATATACTGTCTCACATACAGTAAGTGGCCATCATTATATACTGTCTCACATACAGTAAGTGGCCATCATTATAAACTGTCTCACATACTGTACATGGCCATCATTATATACTGTCACATACAGTAAGTGGCCATCATTATATACTGTCTCACATACAGTAAGTGGCCATCATTATATACTGTCTCACATACAGTAAGTGGCCATCATTATATACTGTCTCACATACAGTAAGTGGCCATCATTATAAACTGTCTCACATACTGTACATGGCCATCATTATATACTGTCACATACAGTAAGTGGCCATCATTATATACTGTCTCACATACAGTAAGTGGCCATCATTATATACTGTCTCACATACAGTAAGTGGCCATCATTATATACTGTCTCACATACAGTAAGTGGCCATCATTATATACCGTGTAAGTGGCCATCATTATATACTGTCTCACATACAGTAAGTGGCCATCATTATATACTGTCTCACATACAGTAAGTGGCCATCATTATATACTGTCTCACATACAGTAAGTGGCCATCATTATAACTGTCTCACATACTGTACATGGCCATCATTATATACTGTCTCACATACAGTAAGTGGCCATCATTATATACTGTCTCACATACAGTAAGTGGCCATCATTATATACTGTCTCACATACAGTAAGTGGCCATCATTATATACTGTCTCACATACAGTAAGTGGCCATCATTATGTACTGTCTCACATACAGTAAGTGGCCATCATTATATACTGTCTCACATACAGTAAGTGGCCATCATTATATACTGTCTCACATACAGTAAGTGGCCATCATTATATACCGTCTCACATACAGTAAGTGGCCATCATTATATACTGTCTCACATACTGTAAGTGGCCATCATTATATATACCGTCACATACAGTAGTGGCCATCTTATATACTGTCTCACATATGCAGTGGCCATCATTATATACTGTCTCACATACAGTAAGGTCATCATTACATACTGTCTCTGCCATACAGTAAGTGGCCATCATTATATACTGTCTCACATAATAGTGGCCATCATTATATACTGTTCACATGCCAGTAAGTGGCCATCATTATATACTGCCTCACCACCCACCGAACATATACTGTGGCAGTGGCTGTGCATTATATAATAATGTCTCATATATACAGTAAGTGGCCATCATTATATACTGTCTCACATACAGTAAGGGCCATCATTATATACTGTCTCACATACTGTAGTGGCCATCATTATATACTGTCTCACATACCGTAAGTGGCCATCATTATATACCGTCTCCACATACAGTAAGTGGCCATCATTATACCGTCCTTCGCCATGGGCCAGTAAGTGGCCATCATTATATACCGTCTCACATACAGTAAGTGGCCATCATTATATACTGTCTCACATACAGTAAGTGGCCATTATATACTGCGTCTCACATACTGTATGCATGGCCATCATTATATACTGTCTCACATACAGTAAGTGGCCATCATTATACCGTCGCACGTGTAAGTGGCCATCATTATATACTGTCTCACATACAGTAAGTGGCCATCATTATATACTGTCTCACATACAGTAAGTCTCACATACAGTAAGTGGCCATCATTATATACTGTCTCACATACAGTAAGTGGCCATCATTATATACTGTCTCACATACAGTAAGTGGCCATCATTATATACTGTCTCACATACAGTAAGTGGCCATCATTATGTACTGTCTCACATACAATAAGTGGCCATCATTATATACTGTCTCACATACAGTAAGTGGCCATCATTATATACTGTCTCACATACAGTAAGTGGCCATCATTATATACTGTCTCACATACTGTAAGTGGCCATCATTATATACTGTTTCACATACTGTAAGTGGTTCTTTACAGGTACAGTTTTTCCACACATGTATGGGACTAAAATCAATGTTTTTTTCCTTGATTATATTTATATCTATCATATATAGGCCACTTGGTTTAGGGTGGGGCGGGTCACCCCCCTTATAACTACCCCTAAGTCGTAGTAAATGTTTGGATAATTATGTTGAGAATTAACCTACAGTTTACAGTAAGAGTTGTAGCTCGTAAATGGTGTATTTTTATAGAAGAGTGAAGGCACAGTCACTTACAAATGTCCTTTCTTGAATGAATAGATTTAAATTGATGTCAAGTAACATTTTCATTTTGCCACACAGGCTGGTAGTCGGTGAGGACGTAGATGCCAACAGAGTAACTGAAGCACTGCAGGAGGTTGTTCCCCAGGTCCAGATGGCACGTTTTTATGGAAAGGAAATGTCCTTTATTCTGCCTTCAGATTCTGCCCGGGAATTTTCCAATCTTTTCATGAAGCTCGATCGACACATCACCGTCGCCGAGGAAAACATCGACATCGAAGGCTATGGCATCTCCATGACGACACTGGAAGAGGTAACTGTTTGGTGGCTCTTATGTATCCTCAATGTGTTTGGTAGCTCTTATGTATCCACTGTATCATTATCAACTGCACGACACTTGTCTGTTTATGACAACTGAAAAATATGTTCAAATGATACATAGGTGATGGAGGTCGTCATTATTTGTGTCTAGTGTTGACAGCTTATGAACTGGTGAACACTTTAAGTCTGACGTATTTGGTGATTGGACTACAGCTCCTCCACGACTTACGACCGCCCGCACTTATGACCTGCCTCAGTCGTGCCAAAATTTTGTCTAATTACGTATTTTCGAGTCCCAACGTCAGTACACAGACAAAATTTTCGTTTGTAATTCACTTTAAATTGGCTGGCAAGCTTAAAAGTGAGAGTTTTGTGGTGCTGAGAAGAAAAGGAGACACCCATTTTAGATTTTGTGTGTGTTATTTAAGCATTTCCGACTTACGACCATTTCGACTTACGACCTGGATTTGGGTCCCTAACCCTGTCGTAAGTTGGGGAGGAGCTGTACTTACATTGGCAGAGTAATAAATGGCCACATATAAGTATAGATAAATTAATGCTGTACTCTCGGTAAAAAAATATCTTTACAAATTTTGTACGAAACAGAATAACACCACGAACGAAGGTTTTGATGAAGGCACACGAGGCACACCTTACATTGGTAGCCCTGCGTGTGGAGTGTTCAGTTTGAAATTCACCGGAGCTCTCCTGAAAGATACTCTTTTTACCGAGTGTACAGTACAGTATGCAAATACCAGACATATTTAAGTGAACACAGATAAGGTACTGTACCTTACTTAGGCCCCTCTGGCTCTACACAGCAATACGCTACCTGCCTGTCTACGTCACACTCCAGTTAACATTATGTAGTGTAGTACACTTTCCAAAAAAGTCTTCGATGTGCAAATCTGTTTAAATGAAAAAAATAAAATAAATATTGAAAACCATGAATAAAATGAGAGGTGTGTGGAAAGAGAAACAAAATATACAGGTATTCCTATAATGAACGGTTTTACCTATAAACTTGAGAATGCTATAATGAACGCAACTCTTACAACGAACTCGGATGAATGCGGGACTATTTCGTCTGGCGATTGAATATTGTTGTACCGCGGCTCCCAGCAAGAGCGTCAGGTGCCATATTGGTTCATTGTGTAGTCAGTGCACCACTGAACTTGTTAAAATTTCGTCTTTTGATGTGGAAATTTGTGTCATTTTTATAACTATTTTGTTATACAAGTGTACAATTGTAACAATGAATCGTCAAAAGCGAGTGAGAAAGCTAATAACCCTTGAAACTAAGAAAGAAATTATAAATAAACAGACAAAGTGCCTGTGAGACAGTCACCAAAGAGGGCTAGGAAGGATGACTCCTCTCCTTCCACCTCTTCTCCATAATTCTCTCCTCCCCCCTCCCCCTCTGCCTCCTGTCCTGCATGCTGAACAACACTAAGGTAAGATAAAGTATCGTATTTTTTACAATTTCCACAGAAATTTTTCAGTGTTAAGTGGTTGTATTTGGGGGCCTGGGACGGATTAATCCTATAACGAACGAGGTTCTAGAACCAATTAGATTCGCTATAGCATACCCCACTGTATATGGGATGAAATAAGTGGGTATTAGAGGTTATTGTAGTGATTTTGTGTACATTAAAGCCTTGACTAACGATGGTTGTAGATGTACAGTAGTAAGATTAATGTAAAAAATACTGTATGTATCTTTTACCAGGCAGTCACACACACGCTGATGTGCTGGGATGTGTGAGTGGTGTTGGGGTGTGTGTGTTGAAGGGTGTGTTAGGGTGTGTGGAGTGTAGGTGGTGTTGGTGTGTGTGTGTTGAAGGGTGTGTTAGGGTGTGTGGAGTGTAGGTGGTGTTAGTGAGTTGACGGAAGCAGAGAATCTTTTTGGGGGGTTAGGGTCCCATGGTCAGCCCCCCTCCCCCTTTCTCACCCAAGTGTGGCTAATTGTGATAGGGAGATGAATTTGATACCATAATGATCCTTATTAAATTCTCTACCAAACGTTTCCAATAAGATTAATAATTTTAGTAATTAACACAGTACACACACACACACGCACACAGACACACACACGGGAATTAAGACAACAAGCATCCAGGGTGAGGGTCTTGTTGTGTGGTCGTGAGTTAAAGATCAGCTGTTGAGGAACTTATCTCTTGGTAACACTGGTGCATGTTACCACTCCTCTCCACTCCATCTCTCTAGTCACCAACACCTTTCTCACTCCATATTTTAATACGTAATGTTGAAGGGATACAACTTTGCTCATTTATACTTATACTTATCAAAATCTCCCTAAAAATACTTTAACTTTTGTGTTTATTCAAGACATCTTCAGGTCATGAGACCCACTAATCCTCCACCCATGAAAGGGTGACCTGACATTCCATCAGAAGGTCAGTAATATGAGACCACTAATCCTCCACCCTACCTCCACCTGACATTGAATCAGGTCAGGTCAGTAATATGAGACCACTAATCCCACACCCTACCTCCACCTGACACTGAGTCAGGACTGATACCTGCAAACAAATATTTTAACTTTTATCTTTATTCAAGACTTTTCAGAAAATTCTCTCGATTTTCAACCTCGGAAGAGTTATTGCCAAAGCCGGACATTTTTGGAAAATTCCAGCTTTGGGAATGATTTTCCGAGCAGATTTCAATTCCGGCTATCGGAGATTTCCATGTTTGGGGGATTCCGGCTAACGGAACTATTACTGTATACGTTAATCTGTCATGTTGGTTTACCTGTGAACTATAAAGCCTTTTAGTGAGGGTGAAGAGTTTATTTATTGTTTATGTCTCTTGTTTTAAGGTTTTCCTCGCTCTGAGTGAAGAGGACCATGATAATAGACATCATTCAGTGGATAATTTAGCTCATCAAATGATTCGTGATAAATCTTCATCTTCGTCTCCCCTTCATTCAGCGTCTCTCAGTATTAAACAAGAGGATGGTGATAGAACAAATAAGAATGACACTCAGGGATTTGCTGTCAATGCTGTGGATGTCATGTAAGTATGATGGCCCAGTTGTATTAAGGTTTACTGTGATAACATTTAGTTCTACAGTTTCTTCACCTTATTAAGATAAAGTTACTTGTTTTAACTTATAAGTTGTTGCTGGTCATGGGTGACTCACTACCTGGTCATGGGTGACTCACTACCTGGTCATGGGTGACTCACTACCTGGTCATGGGTGGTTCACTACCTGGTCATGGGTGACTCACTACCTGGTCATGGGTGACTCACTACCTGGTCATGGGTGACTCACTACCTGGTCATGGGTGACTCACTACCTGGTCATGGGTGACTCACTACCTGGTTATGGGTGACTCACTACGACCCAAAACTTGTATCAAGAGATCTAACAATCAAATAGGTATAAAAATTATATGAAGGCTACCAACCATGCCAGAGGCCTTGTAAGAAGCATTCTCTCTCTCTCTCTCTCTCTCTCTCTCTCTCTCTCTCTCTCTCTCTCTCTCTCTGGGGCCAAATGTTTCACGGGTTCTTGTGTCTTGTTTTTAGTACAGTATTGACCCAGTGCTGTACAGTATAGGTAGCCCTTGTGATACAAAAGTTCTAGATACAAAAATTCGCCAATACGAATTAAGTAAATAGACACCATTTATTGAGCTATGAACGCTTCCCCCGGAGTGAGACCTTACTGAGGCCTGAGCCACACTGTCCTCCTAGAGTGAGGCCCTTACTGAGGCCTGAGCCACACTGCCCTCCTAGAGTGAGACCCTTACTGAGGCCTGAGCTGCCACTGTTCCAGAGAGTGGGAGGTCTTTACTGGAGGCCTGGAGCCACACTGCCCTCCGCCAGAGTGAGGGGCCCTTACTGGAGGCCTGAGCCACACTGTCCTCTCTCTAGGAGGAGATCTACTGAGGCCTGAGCCACACTGTCCCAGAGTGAGGCTCCCCATTGGAGGGGCCTGAGCCACACTCCTCCCCAGAGCGGGGAGGCCTCTTTACTGGAGGCCTCCGAGCCACACTGTCCTCCCAGAGGAGGCCCCACTGAGGCCCGGGAGCCACACTGTCACAGAGTGAGCCCCACTGAGGCCTGAGCCACACCTCCCAGAGTGAGGCCCTACTGGAGGCCTGGAGCCACACTCTGTCCCTCCCTTTTAGAGTGAGACTCATTGAGGCCTGCTGGAGCCACACTGTCCCAGAGTGAGGCCTTACTGATGCCTGAGCCACACTGTCCCAGAGTGAGGCCCCATTTGAGGCCAGCCCTTCCCGAGAGCCACACTGTCTCCCCAGAGTGAGCCCTCTTTACTGAGGCCTGAGCCACACTCCCCGCCTGGTTCTCTCCTAGGGAGCAGAGGTGCCCTTTACTGGAGGCCTGAGCCACACTGTTCCTCCCAGAGTGAGGTCTTACTTGAGGCCTTTGCGCACACTGTCCTCCTCTAGGAGTGAGACTCCATTGAGGCCTGGAGCCACACTGTCCGGGGAGTGAGGCTCCTGAGTCAGAGGCCTGAGCCACACCTCCCAGGAGTGAGGCCCTTACCAGGCCTCCGAGCCACACTGTCCTCTCTAGAGTGAGGCCCTTTACTGAGGCCTGAGCCACACTGTCCTCCTAGGAGGAGGTGGCCTGCTGAGCCTGCTGAGCCACACACTGTCCTCCTAGAGTGAGTTCTTTACTGGAGGCCTGCTTGACCACTCCCCAGAGTGAGTTTTATCAGGCTCTACTTGCACTGTCTCTCCCCAGAGGAAGTCTACTGAGGCCTGAGCTAACAACTTCTAGGAGGAGGCCTCTACTGAGGCGCCTGCTCTTGAGCCACACTGTCCTCCTAGAGGAAGCCTCACTGAGGCCTGAGCCACACTCCCAGGAGTGAGGCCCTTACTGAGGCCTGAGCCACTGTCCCCAGAGTGAGACTCCACTGAGGCCTGAGCCACTCGTCCCTCCTAGAGTGAGGCCCACTGAGGCCTGAGCCACACCTCCTAGGAGTGAGGCCTCACTGGAGGCCTGAGCCACTGTCTCTCCCAGAGTGAGGTGTTCCTATTGAGGCCTGAGCCACACCTCCCAGAGTGAGGCCCTTGTCAGAGGCCTGAGCCACACTGTCCTCTCCTAGAGTGAGTTCCTACTGTACCTGAGCCAACTGTCCCCAGAGGAGACTCCACTGAGGCCTTGAGCCACACTGTCCTCCTAGGAGTGAGACCCTTCACTGAGGCCTGAGCCACACTGTCCCCTCCCCAGAGTGATGCCTTACTGAGGCCTGAGCCAGCACTGCCCTAGGAGGAGGTCTCACTGGGAGGCCTGAGCCACACTGGGTTCCCAGAGTGAGGCCTCACTGAGGCCTGACCACACCTCTAGAGGAGGCTCTACTGAGGCCTGAGCCACTGTCTCTAGAGTGAGGCTCTCATTGAGGCTTGAGCCACACTGCCTCTCTAGAGTGAGGCCTTTACTGAGTGCTTCCTGGAGCTACATTGCCTTCCTTTAGAGTGAGGCTCTTTGCTGAGGCCTGAGCCACACTGCCCTCCCAGAGTGAGGCCCTTTACTGAGGCCCTGAGCCACACTGTCGCCCCAGAGGAGGCCTGCTCACACCGGCCTCCTCTATAGGAGTGCGAGCTCTCACTCGAGGCCTGAGCCACACTGTTCCTCCCAGGAGGAGGCCTGATCCACACTGCCCCTCCCCTAGAGTGAGGCCCCCATCGAGGCCTGAGCCACACTGCCTCCTAGGAGTGAGGCCCCTTACTGAGACCTGAGCCACACTGTCCTAGAGGTGAGTTCTTTACTGGAGGCCTGAGCCCCATCGTCTCCCCAGAGGAGCCCTTACTGGAGGCCTGGGAGCCACTGCTCTCCCCAGAAAGGGGAGGCCCCACTGAGTGCCCTGGAGCCACACTGTCCTAGAGTGAGGCTCCCTTACTGAGGCCTGAGCCACACTGCCTCCCAGGAGGAGGTCTTACTGAGGCCCGAGCCACTGTCCTCCCCAGGAGTGATGCCTCCCACTGGAGGCCTTGAGCCACACTGTCCTCCCCAGAGTGAGGCCCCACTGGAGGCCTGAGCTACACTGGTCCCTCCCCAGGAGGAGGCCCCTTTACTGAGGCCTGAGCCACTGTCTCAGAGCAGGCCCTTACTGAGGCCTGAGCCACCTGTCTCCCAGAGGAGGCCCCACAAGGCCTGAGCCACACTGTCCCTCCCTAGGAGGAGGCTCTTACTGAGTGCCAGGAGCCAGGACCATCCTAGAGTGAGGCCCTTTTTACTGAGGCCTCGTTGGTTTCACACTGTCCCAGAGTGAGGCCCTACTGCGCCTGAGCTTACACTGCCTCCCAGGAGTGAGGCCCTTACTGAGGCCCGGTTTCACATCATTGTCCCTCCTCTAGAGGAGGCCCTCATTGAGGCAAGAGCCACACTGCCTCTAGAGTGCGAGACTTTATCAAGGCCTGAGCCACACTGCCCTCCCAGGAGTGAGACTCACTGAGGCTTGAGCCACACTGTCCTCCTGGAGGAGCCTTACTGGAGGCCTGAGCCACACTGTCTCCCCAGGAGGAGGCCTCCCGGCCTGAGGCCTGGCCACTGTCCTCCCTAGAGTAGAGGCCTTACTGAGGCCCCAGCCACACTAGTCTCCAAGAGTGAGCCCTCGGCTGAGTGGCCTGAGCTACTGTCCTAGAGTGAAAGGCCTTACTGAGGCCTGAGCCACACTGTCCTCCCTAGAGGAGGCCCTTACTGAGGCCTGTCAGCACTGCTCTTCCCCAGAGTGAGGCTCCTTTACTGAGGCCTGAGCCACACTGGGTCTCCTAGAGTGAGGCTCACTGAGGCCTGAGGAGCCACACTGTCCCAGAGGAGGCTCCTTTACTGAGGCCTGAGCCACACCTTTGTCCTAGGAGTGAGGGCCCCTACTGAGGCCCAAGCCACACTGCCTCCCCAGGAGGAGGCCTTACTGAGGCCTGAGCCACACTGTCCTCCCCAGGAGGAGGCCTCACTGACCTGGCTGCACTAACCTCCCAGAGTGAGGCCCACTGAGGCCTGAGCCACACTGTCTCCCCAGAGTGAGGCCCCTATTGAGGCCTGCTGAGCCACACTGTCCCAGAGTGAGCCTTACTGAGACCTGAGCCACACTGTCCCAGGAGTGAGGCCCCATTGAGGCCTGAGCCGCACTGTCCTCCCAGAGTGAGGTCTTACTGAGGCCTGAGCCACACTGTCCTAGAGTGAGACCTTATTGATGCCTGTTTACACTGCCTCCCAGGAGGAGGCAGGCCCCTCACTGGATGCCTGAGCCACACCTGCTCCTCCCAGGAGTGCAGCCCCATTGAGGCCTGAGCCACACTGTCCCAGAGTGAGGCCCCTTACTGAGGCCTGGAGCCACCTTGCCTCCTAGAGTGAGGGGCCCCCATTTCGAGGCCTTGGTTTGCTACACTGTTCCAGAGTGAGCCTTTATCATGCCCTGTTGGCCACCTGCTCCTCCCAGAGTGAGGCCTCACTGCTGAGTCTGGAGCCACTGTCCTCCCAGAGTGAGGCCCTTACTGAGGCCTGAGCCACACTGTCCCAGAGGAGGCCTTACTGAGGCCTGGAGCCATGGACTGGTTCTAGAGTGAGGCTCTTTACTGAGGCCTGAGCCACACTTGTCCCAGGAAGTGAGGCCTCACTGAGGCCTGAGCCACACTGTCCCAGAGTGAGGCCCCACTGGAGGCCTGAGCCACACTGTCCCTCCCTAGAGTGAGACTCACTGGGAGGCCTGAGCCACACTGTCCTAGAGTGAGGCCCTTTACTTGAGGCCTGAGCCACACTGTCCCTCCTAGAGTGACCCTTACTGAGGCCTCTGAGCCACACTGTCCTCCCCAGAGTGAGGCCCTACTGAGGCCGCCTCCAGCCACACTGGTCTCTGGGGAGGAGGCCCTTACCGAGGCCTGGAGCCACACACTGTCCCAGAGTGAAGCCCCTGCTGGAGGCCTGCTGAGCCACTGCCTCCCAGAGTGATGCCCCGCCTGAGGCCCGAGCCACACTGCCTCTGAGGCAGCCCCTATCAGATGCCTGAGCCACACTCGGGGCCCTCCCAGAGTGAGAGA